CTTGGTTCCTCTACTGACAGTGCTGTGTAGGGCAAGTACCAGCTTGCCTCTGTTTACTCACCTGAAAATGGGGAGAATAGCATCTTGCCATTATTCCTCCCAGTGAGCAAGGGCAGCAGAGATAGCCTACTGGTCTGAACAAGCCTGGAGCCAGACCCAGGCTGCTGAGCTGCCCTCAAGGAGTGTCCTACTATGACAAGGCCCATGGCTGAGTGTCCTCAGATCTCAGGCTCCCAGGATCATGTGAATGTCAACAGAAGGAGCTCCTTGAGAGGCAGTCCGTGTCCCAGAGGCAGCCAGCCCTCAGGCCAGAAGCCAAGGGTCATGAGGGTGTCTACAGTTGTGAGGCAAGGTGGCCTCCAATTCTGCCTTCAGCAAGGTGCTTCACTCTCTTACCACAAAAGATCAGAGTCCTAAGCCCCCACCTTGTTTTCCTCCCATCAACCCATCAATTATTTAATTAAATGTAAGTTGAACTATCCCAGATTAACTCTTGAGATGAGTTCAGTTTGGGAAGCTTCTCTAGTTTCAGGCTCGTGATACTAGGAGTGCCCACCAGCTTTAGGTCCCTGGCCCCCTGTACAGGGCAATAAAGCTGCAGTCAGAGCCCGAGTGTGCCATCCATACACAGATCCAAACAGTGGCCTTGAGGTGATATATTTGCTCAGATGGTTCCAGGAGACCTAAGTGGGCAAAGAACCCTGGGGCCTTCAGGCAGCACTTGGGAAGTGGTGGTATCAGGACAGACACCCATGTTAGTGGGGTTGACACAGATGAGGAACTCACTGATCAAAAAGTCCACTGTCCTCTTTCCTCTGAGTCCTGGTGCATCCCAGTACAGGAAAGCATTGTCTTCCAAAGTAGGTGACCTGGTGAGATGTTTCCAAAAGCTTACCCCATTTACCCAGTGTACTCCACAGCACCACAGTAAGGAAAAAGCAAGGAGGGAGAAACAGCAATGCCTTCAAAACCTCAGAAACATAAGGCGTGTTCCCCAATCAACCATTAGTTGTTGTGGTAGGTATGGTATGTGCCCTGGGTGCCCCTTAAAGGGGATACCACTGTGCCATTCCCATCACCAACTGTGAGAGACCATTCAGAAAGTTAAAACTAGCAGTTTTGTGTTTAAGGGCCTCCATGGATCAAGGCAGGCTGTGGGTTGCTTCCCTCTCTCTAAAATGTATCTCCAAATTGTCTGGTGTGAAGGGGTAGGAGGTTGTTGGGTGGGCAGAGAAATGTATGTCTTGCTTTGTTTTTGTTCTAGCCCAGGTCTGTGTAATCGGTTCCAATGAGCTGAAGAGATTTGGAAAAGCAGCCCCACGGAGGCCAGCCATTTTGCAATCCCACTGTTCATCCCTCAAGACTCTAGAGAAAGTGTTTCCCAAAGTAGGTGATACTGCCCGCCCATGGGGAGGGGTGGGGGGGATATTGGAATGATCTAGAATTGGAGGGGGAGGGTGGGGATAACACAGAAACAGATACCTACACTTTATCTTGGATTATGGGCTATAGTACAAAAGTAGTTAATTGCCAAAGGGGCACTGAGTAATTTTTTTGAGGAGGCAGTAGACCACATACATTTGGGAGCCTAAGCTCAAGAGTCTGCCATTCTCCCTGTTCTCCCCCTTTGAAGTGGCTTCAAGACAGGGTGGTCTCAAAGGCCACATGGCCCCCTTCTCCCTGTGCTCTGAAATACTCCGCTCCTTCCCAAGCCTAAGATGATTGCTAGGTGGGGTGGGTAGTGGGCACAGATTCGGCCATATCTAAGGCACGTTGCTCCCTGGATGTACTTCAAAATCCAGAACTACTTGTGCCAAGAAGGTCCAGGGTCCAGGGTGTTGTGCTGAGTGTAGAAAGAGAAGGAACTGGAGAGAAACGCCTGACTTTGTGTACACTGTAGATCCATTTTCATCAGTGGAAGAAACAGTGTCGTTGCACTTTTTATGTAGTGTCAAAATGTAAGTAATAGATTAATAAGCTTGACTTGGGTTTTTGAGCTGATATTATAGCAAAGTTATCTAAAAGATGGGTATCAGATGCTTGGGCAGGGACACAATTTCAGAGCTTGCCATAGTTGCTGTTTTTCACAGAAACTCCTTTGTCCCCACTGTCCATCAGAGAGAGGCCCTGGTGGTACAATGGCTGCTTGGCTGTTGGCTAAAAGGTGGGCAGTTGGAACCCCCAGCCACACTGAGGCAGAAAAGGCTTGGTGATCTGTCCCTTCAATGACACCCTAGGAAACCCTGAGCGGTAGTTCTAGTCTGTCTGCCAGGGCCATCATGAGTCAGAATTGACTCCACAGGACACAACCACAAGGAAATGACGCCTATTGGAGATTAGACAATGGTGAGATTCAGCCCATTCACACCTGTTCAGCAGAACAGATAGTGAATTTTTTGTTGTGTTTGGAGAAGTGGTTGTTATAATGGTACTTGTAATCAGGGTTCTCTCTAAGAGGGATAGCTGGGCAGGCGCCCATTATGGAAATTACAAATTCACATTCCCTTTTTTTTCCTGAACATTCATCCTTGTGAAAGTATATTCTAAGTGTCATTATTATTAATGTTCATTCCATCTCTAGGTATAAAAACATTAGCTGAAACTGTGCTCGCAATATTTATTCATTTCATAAAATTTGTTATACTTTTGATGAAATACTACATTTTTATTCCCTTGCATTTCTTACTTCAGTAAACAAATATAGACTGTAAAGAGAAAAAGTGCCAAACAACCAGAGGGTGACATGCTGTCATTTGTGTCAGCTTTGTGTTATCCCCCAAATTCCCACAAGATCTTATGAGTGAATTATGAACGTGTTCAAAAAGCTAAAAATATTGTCAGAACCATTGCTGTAGGTTCAACAGAAGTGGGAAGGGGATTTTCAAAGAGAAGAGAAGTCACCTGTTTCTAATGTATCAAACATAATGAGCACAATGAAATAACTATGGTCTAATTGGCCTACTTCTAAAAGATTGGGATCCTACTCCTACGGTGAAAGATGGTTGGGGATAAATCACACAGCCAATGGTACTTGGATAAAAGCAAATACCAATGAGGATGTCAATCAAGAAGGAAAATGGTAATATCTTCAATACTTTTATGGGGTTTTGTCAGGTATTATTTAATATATTATCATTAATATTTTAAATCTTATAGCAATCTAGTTTTCTATACTTCTTTTATTGTTCTTCTTTAAGTATTAACTGTATGGAATAATTAACTACCTCACAGTACATCTTGTTTTATACTTAGAACAGTCATTAGGGCAGCCAACCAGTTGCTAAATTATTTAAATCCTCCCACTGGTTTCAGCCATTATTTTTGTCAGAGTTCAAGTCCCAATCATTGTCCCAGTGTCCTGAGAAATGCCCTGCAAAAAATGAACAGACTTCCATGTCTCAGGACCAGGGGCAAATCCCTGGGCTTGGTGGAGCCTATGTTTCCTAAATGGCGAAACACAAAGAGTTGATCACGCCTGTATTTCCCTGAACAGCCATGAATAACTCACTGGGCAAGAGTTTCAACTCTTAAAAACTTAGCTACAAAGATCTGTGATAGTCCCTGAGAAATGAATGAACTTGATTCCTTAAGTATGTCTCCAATTCAAATGTATACATAAATTAGAACAGGATATAGAGTTTGACCTAGTCCTGATGGCAATGGTGCGTAGGAGTACTAACTACAAGGTTGACAGTTCAAACATTCTAGCCAATATTCCAGAAAAAGAGGATGCAATTTGCTCCTGTTGAGATTTACAGACTCAGAAACTTTATGTAGGTTCACTCTGAGTCAGAATTGACTCAATGGCAATGTTTTGTTGGTTTTTTTTAAATCTGTTGTTTGTTTTAGTGCATGAAAAGACTCCATGCTTTTCAATGATTTATTAGCTGCATGTGCACTAAATGAAGGTTTTTGTCTGGGTTGGTACAAACATTCCCGAGTGAGGCCAACCTGACATAACAGCAGAGGGCACATACCAGTTGTCTCTAAGTCTAAGTGTTGCTATGAGTCGGAAACAGTTCGTTTGCTTCAATGAGTTAGATAAGGAGCTCTAGTGGCCTTGTGAGTTCTGTGCTGGGCTGCTCACCACAAACCCAGCCGTTCAGCCCCTCACCCACTGGTGGCTCCAGTAAAGGTCAACAGTCTCCAAAACCCAATGGGACAGTTCTACTCTGTCTTACAGGATCACTGTGAGTTGGACATTGCAGTGCTGTAAGTCAGGTCTAAGTCGGGTGTTCATAACTTGGGGAATGCCTGCACACGCGCGCGCACACACACACACATGCCCTTTTTTATAACAGAGACAGAATGTATGCATTTTCAAATCAAAATAATTGTATTTCAGGGGTCAGGGCTGAAAGGAAGGCGTGCAGCCAAGGTGGGTCAAACGCTTACCTTGTCTTTCTTCCCAGCACTGCGCGCAGCGATTCCGAGCCTGTCGGCCTCAGGACACGACTGTCCAAGGTCTTGAGCTTGGACCAAGGGTGGCTGCACTGAGCCTGTCCCGTCCGCTGGCAGTCTGGAAAGAGACACAGAGGCTGCGACTTTGGGGCGCCCTCGGGAGCCTTGATCCCAGGGGAGGGAGCGTGCGGGTGCGCTGAGCTGTGGTGAGCAGGGACTTGCAAGTGCTGAGGACAAATCTGCCTGATGGAGCACCCCACCTCCGTGGCCCGGCCGCACTCCAAGCCCAGAGCTTTCCGGGCAGCGCGGCAGGGAGCTCGTCCTTCGGGTCAGGGCGTCGCGGGGACGGAGGAGGCCTCAGCAGTGGCCCGGGCCGCGGCCGGGGTAGGCGGGATCCCGCGGGGGCTGCGGGCGGGCGGGGTGGGGTGAGATGAGGGCCGGCCCCCTTCTCGCGCCCGCCCCCCCGCCGCGGAGTCCTTCAGCCAATGAGACGCCCCCTCGGCCCGGGGGGCGTGGGGCCGCTACTTAAAGCCGTGCGTGGCTGTCACCGGCGAGTCGGCGGCGCACCCACCAGGCCTGAGCCGCAGGACCGTCAACAAACTCGGAGCGCCCGGAGTCATGGCCACCACCAACGGGACCGTAGAGAACGGGCAGCCAGACAAGAAAACTTCCGCCTTGCCGCGCCCCATCCGCAACCTGGAGGTCAAGTTCACCAAGGTGAGGCGGTCGCCCGTGGCCCGCGGGGAGGCCCGTTCTGCCCCGCGTCGGCCGTGCAGCGTGGGGAGCCGGGGTCTCGAGCTGGGGAGCGTGAGGGCACCAGCCGGCAGCCGCCGCGGCTCCACCCCCGAGGGGGTCAGGAGGTGGGAGCGCTTGCGGGGCGCCGAGAACTTGGCGGGACGCGTCCCCACGGAGCGGAGCCTCGCCAAGCACCCCAGACGGGAGTCCGCGCTCAGCGCGCGGACCGGCTCCTAGGACCGGCGCTGCCACCCGCCGGGGAAGCGGTGCGCGACGACGCACCCGTCGTGGAAGCGGGCGAGCGCGCGGCGCCCACACTCCGGGGCTGCGCCGCTTGGGACGGAGCGGAAGTGCTCAGCCCGGCACGCGGTGGCCCCTTAGCAGACCCCGGCGGGTAGCTGCCCAGGCCCCACCCATGCCAAGAGCAGTGCTGGGAGAGAGGATGGACCCGTCGGATCGGAGCTGTAGCGCGGAGACTGAGGGCGCATGCCCTCGGGAACTCCGGAGACACATCGGGCACCTTCTGGTTAGCCTCTACCCACCCAAGTAACCTGGAGAGCTAGGGGAAGTGGGAAGGTGCCCCGACGGAGGACACTGCCCAGCTGTCGAGGTCTTAGAGTTCTCAGACTGGGCGTCATGCCCTGCCGCTGGAAAGGTCGGGGCACTAAGGCCCATCTCACCTTGCAGCCCTGGCTTCTTTACGCTGCTGGAGGGGCCGGGTGGCACGACTGGGAGAGGAGAGGGGAAGGGGAGGAGGCTGAAGCAGCCAGGGAGCAAGGTCATCACTTGCCTGGGACAGAAAGGAAGGTGGTAAGGCTCCTTCCTGGAAAGCTGGGTAAGCGGCTTTAAGTCCTGTAGAGAGTGGGGTTCAATACCTCAAGTAGTTTGGGGGCTCAGTGTTCAGTTTTCCCCTTCGCCTGGGCATGGGATCTTTGAAGAGAGCGATGGCCGAAAGCTGCTGTAAGAGGCTCTCTCCCCAAACGTGTGCCGATTTGGTTTTATACCATCTCCCTTTCTCTCAACTCCAGCTGACACAGCACTTAGAAAATTCTCCGGTCAATTTTACTTTCAAAAGTAGCAATTATGTCTCTCAGATAATTTTAATCAAGCGGAGGAATCGTCGGCCCACTACGTGTGGCCTTCAGATTTTGGTTTCTTGGCACTTAATTCCCAATGTCGGCCTTGCCTCTGATCACATGACGCTTAAATTAAGTGTTTTCAGCGGGAACTGTAATTAACTGAGACAAGTTACAGTAAATGCTGGTAGGTCCTTTAGGAGTATTAGCTTCAGAGTAAAACTTCCAATACAGTGTCTAGGAATTGTGAGAACATCACCTTTTGCAGACCCCAAGGAAAGGTTATTGTTGGCATGCCCCCCTCCCACACACACACACACCCCTTCAGATTACGAAAACTACACAGAGACCAGAAAGTAATTGTGCAAGTTATTTATTGTCTTTTAGTCTCCTCCACCCCCTAATAAAATCACAAAAATATTAAAGATTAGAGTTTAAAAGAATGAAAAAGGCAACAAGAAACATTTTGTGGATGTTTGGGAGGGATAGGATTTGGGACGGAAGACCTATGGCAGGCAGCTAGGAGGAACAAAGTATATAAGTGTGTTATTTTTCAAAATTGACTCATGATGGAGGACACACCAGAGATGCTCCGGCCTTGGTCCAGCCCTTTCTGAGGGGTACTGCTTCCAGAAGGAGGACTTGGTTAGATCTCCTGTATTGGTCTTCACAGTTTCACCCTGTACTCTTGTGGTTCGGGTGTGTGTGGTGCGGGGAGGGGCATCCATGTCTCTCAGAGGTAGCAACCTCTTTTCCTTTATGGAGCCTCTTCCTTTCCCTATACAATTTCTTTTAATAGAAGAGATTCTCTTTGAGTTTTTCTGATTCTTTGAAACAACTTTTCTTCCTCTTATGAAAAGTAAAGTTACCTAAGACATTTCTATAAATACCCTGAAAGCATCCTTGCTTTTGCGTTTAGCTGAGTATCCTGGCCTTGCATTGGGAGCAGAATGGACTTGTATAATGGCCATCGCTTAACTTCCTCCTCAGACAGCTCTGGTGTTCCAGCCCAGCCTGGTTCCATGTCATTCTGTCCCTTCTGTAAAATTTGAATTCCCTCGACAGCTCAGCATAACTTTAGTTTTGTACTTGTAGAAGGCTTATTTCATACAGACTTGCACATTGGGGCAGAGGGGTGGTGGCAATCCTTCACCAGACCTTTTACGCTGGCTCAGGGTTAAAAAATATATAGTAGAGTTGAAAGACCACAGTCACTCACCTACCTCCTAATTTGTGTTTTTGTTTTGTTTTAGAGAGAAAATCAACAGCAGAAACCACTTATGGGACTGCTGTTTTAGTATATATTTAAAAACTCCTAAATTGGAAACATTATAATAGGCAAATATAGTAAGAGTCAGGCAGTCTGAGTTTCTTTGTAAAGTTACTAGTTAGAAAAGATTTAAAAATCAATGTAAGGAATACCTAGATAAGGTGTTTTATAGAGGCACATTCTTGGAAATGGAGTGCAACAGATAATTGCACTGGTTTCCATTCACCTCATTTATATTCTCTTCTATCACCTTCTCACTTTCCTTCCCCTTGGAACTGATACCAGGAAGGACCTAGAATCAGCAGTTTTCACTGACAGCCTATTATCTAGCCCACGAAATTTCATCTTCCTCTTGCTGGCTGCACGCTCCTCCCCATGCTAACTGAACTCCTCTTTTCCACTTACTGCTTCTTGCTGGTACTGAGTAATTACTTGCTGGATGGCAAAAGTGAACGCTTGGATTTGGTTTCAGCTGAAAGAATAAACCTGTAATTGTAGCCTGGCCTTTCCCTCAGCGCCTGGCCTCGCATGGAAGGTGCTGAGCTTTAAGGAGTCAGGTGGACATATCCCACCTGGTCAGCTCTGAATCCCAAGCTGGGAGAAGGTGACTTTGCCCATTTAGTTAGCCAGACCCTACCTTCTATGTTCTGCCTATTGGGCACAGATTTCTATGGTGATTTAATAAGGTGGGGCTCACCAGCAGCTTCCAGATGGGGCTTCCTTCCTGATGCGCTGCAGAGTCCATACCAGGACGACAGTTACAAAGAACAAAACCAGCCAGACAATCGACGAAATGGTCCCCGCTCTCATCTCACAGTGTTGGGGGTCAAGTGTTCCTACTGAACACATGTCACCAGAATTGAAGTGAATCCTTCCAATGACACAATTTAAAGAGAGGCACAGAGAAATGGGATCTGATGAGCTCGTTCTATATTTACAAAGAGCAGTATTTTACTCGATGGAAGTACTGCTGCTTTTCTACATGTAATGTTTCATGACAATATATAGGGAACAAATCTACTTAGTCCCAGTTCTTAAATATATGATCAATGATACTGGTTACATTTTTCACATTGTGTCAACATTCATTATTTCTCTTCTACTTCACATTTATTGTACTTAATCTCCTTGCTCTCAACCTTCTCATCTATTGCTTTAAAAGTGTCATTGATCCTTTGGTTACACACACACACACTTTCACATTCACACGGGGGCTCCAAAAATTTGAGGGAAATGAGTTAAAACGAGTAGAATTTTTCTACAATCTACATAGCCACACATATATACATCCATATGTGTATATATTTGATGTAATAGCAAGGGTGAGAATTTTTACTCTGGCAAAAATGCTACTTAGCTTAAAGGTAACTCCTGGGGATAGTTTCAAGATCTGAACTTTCTTTTCTCCATCTCTTAATATGACCTGACCATGTTGCAGCCACAATATTTTTTTGTCTTTCAAAACTGAAGTCCACTTTGCTTAATTAAACCTAATATACACATAGACATTTTAAAGATAGGAGGCAATTCTGATGGAGATGAATGAAGACAAAAGGATTATGATAACTCCAACTTTGGAGGGTGTTGGAAAATTTTCTAAATTATCTTCCCATAACTGGTGTCTTTCTGAATGGGCTTTGAGACCAAGGTGCAGCATGGCTATCTTCTTAGCCGCTGAAATCTCCATAGTGTTGGAATGTATTTTATATATTGTCTGTCACCTCTGTTCCTAATTCTTTTCCCAAAACTCATTTCTCTTCTCATGTAATTCTTCTAATGCCATTAGACTTTAGAATTAAGTAAAAGTAAATACATTTCATACATTGCAGCATGTGGATTTTATGAAGTCCTGTGATATGACATCTTTTTACTATGCTTGATCTTAGCCAAAAGGCCAAGTATGACATCTTTTTAAAATTATTATTATTAATGTTCTCATCCTTAGCTGTGTTCTGACTACTATTCTGATTAACTCTTGGTTCTAAATATAAGTGGTTGTTTTCTACATGCCTTATTATAACCTGAACATTTTGCAGCACAGATATTTATCTTTGTCTTTCAAAACTGAGCTCTACCTTGCTTAAATAAGCCCAGTATAAGCACAGACATTTTAAAGAGAAGTGGGGAGAGTTTTGATGGAGATTAATGAAGACCTTTTTAAAAGTGAGTTCTTCTGCAATCTCTTTGGGGCAGTGGAAGTGGACGTGAGGTGAGACAACAGCCAATGGGGCATGCCCCTCCAGGGCAGGCAAATTGTTTGCATGTATATACATCTCCATATATGATTAAAGGGGTTCATGTGCCCTCCTCCCCAAAACTCTACAAGGATGTGGAATTCAATTTATAACCATTATCAAATTCAATTATGTCTCTACAAATCCATGTTATTATTTTTTTTAAAGAAATGGAAATTTTTAGGAATAAAGTCTTAATTAGGTGAATTTTATTATGGTAAAAGTGAATTCTCTGAAAATTTTAATTTGTTTCAGGAGACATGGATTCAAATTCTAAGGTCTCTCCTGCTTAGTCATCTTATTCTCAGTGTTGGGAGATAGTGAGGAGGAAGTGGGGTAGGGTCAGATAACACATTACCTAAGGTTCTTCACATGTTAAAATAATATGATTTTGATTTAAACCTAATGCATTGCAACCTTCCTTTCTGGTTAGATATTTATCAACAATGAATGGCACGAATCCAAAAGTGGAAAGAAGTTTGCCACATATAACCCTTCAAATGTAGAGAAAATATGTGAAGTGGAAGAAGGAGATAAGGTGGGTGCTTTTTATTTTTTCTAAGTAATTCAATTATGGATAAGTAAAGGATAAGGAAACGATTTGGCTCAGCTATAAGGTAGAACTGGCACACATGGTGGGTTGGGGTTTGAGCTAGTTGCACTCAACCCACACAGGATCCAAACTGGGATCAATTAAAATGTCCTGCTGCAAACCTCAGCCCCTCTCCTATGATAGATGGCTCTTCATCTATGAGTTTGACCTCAGCTATCCATGCCACATGGCTCAAAGAAAAGTTTTTATCAATTATTTGAACCTGGAGGCATTAAAGAATATTTCCAGAAAGCATTTCCTGCTGGTGTGTTTTATAAAATGCAGTATTCTAACAGACCCTTAAAAAATAGACTTGAAGAAGGAGAAAATATTTATTGACCAGGTGATGTGAGTGATAGCATCATATAACTGCCAAATTTCTTTTCTACCTGAAACATAACATGTTTATGTAAAGTAACTCTATTTCACATTATAGAGCATACACTATAACATAGAAGCTAAAGGACTTGTGGGTGTGTCTTTTATATATTTCAAGATCATAAAGTATAATTTGCATATTACTATTGTTGTAAGGCAGCTTAAAGGTGAAGCTTTTCTAAGGGTACACAACTCCTCTCGTGTTCCTTTGGCATTCTTGGTGAATGTACTGCTAATGTTTAACATGGATAGGGTGAATGATAAATGTAAAATAGGCCTGAATTTTATCCCACCTGTGGTAGTGTTACCAGGGTTCCTTGTGCAGTGAACTTCTTATGTACAGCACCTCCATTTATGTGCTAAACTCTATTTACAGAGATATGAGGGGATAGGAGCAGATGGGGTGGAGTTGGGCAGTATGATGCTGACTGGGAGATCTTGAAGTGCATGGGGCTTCCTAGGTGTTGGGGAGGAGAATGAACCCAGTCCCCATGCTCCTCTTTTCTCTTGGTTGAGTTGGCTGCTCTGAGTACACAGAAAGAGGTCCTCCGTCCACTATAGCTGGAGAGGTTCTGGAAAACCTGGCCTTAACGCCACAGCCCAGACAAAGAGTTCAAAGCCTCAACGTTTTTGCTAACCCCCTGAAAGCTTTGGAGAACTGGGGCAGGGGTTGGAAAAATTCCTTAGCCATTTTAATTTTTATTAATTATTAGTTATAAATTATTGAGTTTGGTCATGTCTCTAATAATTGTGAAAAGGAAAAAAAAATTGGAATGAGGTCTTGGGGGTGTCAATCCTGACTGTCCATTATCAGTGGGAGAGACACATAGAAGGCCTGGGAGATAAGCTCAGGTCCATCATCAACCAAACAAAATTAAAAGCAACATGAGTGAGGTTACTTGAAAAAGTTCTTAGGAAATATTCTCAGTCTGGTTGTGCAGTGGGTTAGGCATTGGACTGCAGAAGAAAGATGAGGCTGTCCATTCCTGTAAAGATTTATAGCCTTGGCTAATCTGGCCTACTTTCTATCCAACCTTTGATGACTCATGTCATGTGCTATGTACTACGGTGACCTTAGACCCTGTCCTTTTGGGGCACACCAGAAGGACTCAATGTGGAAATCCCACTGAATGAACTGGACTTTACCTCAAAATTACCCGCAGCCCTTGGACTCAAGACTGAAACTCCCTGATGTGAGAAGAAACAGATGACTGCCACCCCAAGGCTGTAGCATTGGTCATCATTGGACCTTGGTTGGGATCCCTTGCTTTGTGGGTGGCTGATGAAAGGTGGCCCAGAACCATCATATATTTACTATATTAATGCCCTGCTTGATTTACTATGACATATTAATATGGAAGGCAAGGTTCTGCCCTTGTAAATGTATGTTATTGGAAATTTTCCCCAATCACAAACCTCTATGGTCACTGTAAATATAGCCCGATCATTTAAGAGTTCAATTTGTACAAAGCACTAATTCGTGGATTGTAGTTTGGAGCTGGTGTATAACTATTTGGTTTCCTTTTCTCAACAGTATGTTAAATTCAATGCCATTGGCTGCATTGACACAATCAATATATTCCCAATGTATATTGGGGTATATACATACTTTATACTACCTTATATCCCCACTACCTTATAGCCAAGGGGATGATTGATAATGTTCTTTGTCACAGAATGATAATGAGGTTTCTATAGTAAACCAGAGATAGACACAATCCATAAACAAGTGAATGAATTTTGGACTCCCATTTAATTCCAGCCCCAATCCAAGAACAATTAGTTCTCATGGCATGGCCCTACTTGATGCTTACCCTCATGAAGAGATCACTGAAGATATGGTGCTACAGCAAAGTGTGGTGAAGAAAGTATATGGTGCCCAGCTATCAAAAAGAATAACTTCTGAGGTCTTAAAGGCTTCTATTCAAACAAGCATCAGTTGACCCCCATGAGTGAGCTGAGGCTGAAGTGGAAAGGCATAAGCAATACAACATGCACTTATCTGCCAACTTTTCCCGCCCATCCAGTTCTTATATCTAGAGAAAGCCTATTTCTCTAATCTTTCTATACAGACACAGTTCTCAGCAAGAATAAAAAGTAAAGCTAGACATGATGGTGTTCAAGAAGTTTATGGAAAAACTTTATCTTTTTTTTTTTCATTCAATTATCTTTTCATTTTTCCATGAGCTTTTTGAAGTCCTTTCATATTTTCCATTTAATTTGTGAGCTGTGTTCAAGTCTAATAAGTGAAAAACTTTTTTATGTGGGTCATCAAGCAAAATACTTAAGAGATTTTATATTATTTTAATAAGTATTTTAAAGTATTATAGTATACTTAAAAAGTAGTCCCTGACTTATGGCAGGTTTCCCTTTCTACACCTCTATAAGTTTGTTCTGATATAAGTTGAATACCACCACCACCCCATGATTTTCCTTTTTATATTTAGTATCTTTAAAAATTTGAAATTTATTCACAGTTGGGGATTTGAGATATTACATATAAACTTACAGATGTGGTGACATCAGCAAATTACATGTATGTTGTATGTAGTGTGTGTATGTGTGTATGTATGTATTACTAATGATATGTAAAAAATGAAAATGTAAAGGACAGTTGTAAGTGCTCATATGTGTCATCCATCCTAACTAGAATACATCATAAATTGAGAACTACCTATTGAAGGCAATATTATATAATATGAAACATACTATATTAAAATATCTATTAAAATATAAACTAATAGTATACATAATATACCTATTATAAGGAGCCCTGATGAAGCAGTGGTTTAAGTGCTGGCTTGGCTGCTAACTGACAGGTTGGTAGTTCAAACCCATGAGCCACTCTGTAGGAAGAAAAGACCTGGCCAGGTACTCCTGTCAAGATTATACCCTAAGGACCCCATGTGGCAGTTACTCTCTTCTGTAGGGTCACTGTGAGCTAGAATTGACTCTGTAGCACAAGAAACAATAGCATACTTATTGTAATATGTATAATGTTCTTTATAATGGTATCATGCATATTTTTGTGTATTGCTTATATTTTACAAAGGGGTTTTAAAATTGTGTAGAAATATTTCATCATCTCTTAATTCCATTCTTCCATGAACTTTTTGAAGGCCTCTCATATGAAGTTATATAAGAAAGGCATTTTACATTATTTGAAAAGCTTTCCTAATCAGAAGGAGCCCTTGTAGTGCTATTGGTTAAGAGTTACATCTTGGAAACCTATGGAGCAGTTCTCTAGGACTAGTTGGCAGCTTGGTTCCTAATCAAGAAAAAATAATGGTATTTCTTAGGACTGTAGAAATTAACAAATGGCTGCACTCTCCACAGACCTACTTGGCCTCCTTGTTGCCTGGTGAAAGCACAACTCTGTGTCTTTTGTGCCTTACCGCACAGCCTTTCCAAACAGTAGTGCCAACAAAGGTGACACCCACTCTCTGGCTCCACAGCCTGACGTGGACAAGGCAGTGGAGGCTGCTCAAGCTGCTTTCCAACGAGGCTCACCATGGCGCCGGATGGATGCCCTCAGCCGGGGCAGGCTGCTGCATCAGCTGGCTGACCTTGTGGAGAGGGACCGTACTCTTCTGGCCGTGAGTGCACATGCCCCTCCCCACCTCACCCTCCCTCACCTCACCCTATCCCGCACAATGACAGGTCAGCTGTCTCTGAGGGCTGGGAAGGGAACTTGGTGGAAGTGCTGGTTTTGTATGGCAGTGGATTTATTTGGTCTTTTGTGGGCGTAGCCCTCTGGCCATATCTTGGTACTACCAGTACATTTGTGTACTTAACATTCGTCTTTATAGGAACTCCCTTTTAAACTTAAATCTAACCCCATTATAAGTTATCCTATTCAGGAAACCACGGGCTTAATGTGCTCATTGTATTCTCCCAAGTGGAGGAGCTCTGGGGGTGTCATAGGCTATGCATTGGGTTGCTAACCAGAGGGTCGGCAATTTGAGACTACCACCTAGTAAGATAAATGCCACCACTTAACCAGAGCCAGTTGTCCAAATGTCAGCTAAGACAATCCCCTGTTTCCCTCCTGAACTGGGTACTGGTAAGTGTGGATGGAGGAGTAGTAAGAGTAGGATATCCTGGTTTAGGAAACCTCAAAATGTGAAAGACCTGGGTTCAAATCCCAGCTCTGCCACTTACTTATTCTGTGACATTGCACAAGTTGCTTAACCTCTCTATGTAAAGTATCACTAATAGAGGTATCTAAGTGTTGTGAGAGTAATACATTTCAAGTTCTTAGGAGATTTAATAAGCATATAATAAGTTCTAAATTGGTGATGGCTATTGTTAATAATAATAGTAATAATAATGCTATCTTAAGTTCTAATTCTGCCTACATATCATCCTGACCAGTAATTTCCAGATACCTTAATTCCTCAGTTATAAGATAGGGAGATTACTTTATATCACCCCATGAGGTTGGGTCATATAAGTTGTAAATGTGTAATTTAAAAGGATTCTCAGACTTTCCTTCCTCTTGAAGTGGGTGACCAGAGGTGACCTCAGGCCTTTGAAACCTGCCTATCTAGCTCTGTTATGGCTCAGAGTCCTGCTTAACACTTTTTTCTAACCTTCAGACCCAATTCTTAGAGAGGAAATCTCCTGTGTGGCCTCCAGTGTGTGGAAACCTAGTTCTTTCTTTTCTAGATTCAATCTTGAGGATGAGCAGTTCAGTGAGCACACCATTAAAGGCCCCAACAAGGCAACGGACGTGGCTTTTGCTCCAGGAGCTTGTTTCTTTGGGAGTGAGAGTTGAGGAGCTCTGCTCTTGGGTGCCATTGCTTTGCAGGGCATCCGCTCAGAAACCCAAACAATGCTTTCTTCCCACTTTGCCAACCCTGCGTGGAAAACTCCCCCCAGGCCAGGTGAGAAGAGCAGCCCTGTAGAGTGAGTGCTCCTCTCGGGGAAGCCCTGGCTTCTCCCTGCAATGAACGCCAGTCCCAGTTCTCAAGCTGTCAAACTGGCTCTTTCGAAAACATTTCTGTGTTCTCCCAGCATGAGCTCATCTGCCTGCAATGTCCATGTGGACTAATAACAGACGGGAGAGGATATGCCCTGGGCACCCTCCCCACCCTGGCCTCGGTGTCAGGATCACCTTGGGAAACAGTGCCTGAGCCACCTTCCTTCCACTGTGCTTTGAAAGTGGGCACTGGAAAAATGCAGGACTCCAGAATCTCTGAAGTCAGACCCGGCTCTCTGTCATACATGAAAGGGACAAGAGAATGCTGGGAACTATGGTTTTGAAAGCCTGGATCACATCTTAGGGCAGTGCACCTCATTCCCCACCTCAATAGAGTTTCCTGCATTTTCACACAGGAAAGCACCTGTTTGGTCATGTTCTCATGCTGGGCCAGTGTTTCCCACAAAACTGGGCCTTATTCCATGTCCAGTGCTTGGAAACAAACATGGAGAGATCAGTGGACTCCCCCGCTTGCCGAGGCACCTGGCCGCAGACCTGGGCACTTAGGTTATCATTCGGGTTCTCCCAAACAGGGTCCTCACTGTGTCCCCTCTGACATGAACCCTGTTCGGAGGCTTGCATCTTACACATGTGCATGCAGTGGTCAGGTTTCCACAAATCCCCCTCATTTTTTAGAATCTCAGGCCTACGGTAAATAACTTTTTTTCTCTCCCTAAAATGTCAAAGGAAATAAAGTAGGACTGGCTGTGATTTAATTTTGGTTGAGCCATGGTGGCATTTACAGAAGTGACTGCTCCAAATAGTAGCTGACACCTGGTTTTCCAGGTTCAGCCTCATATATTCCTGCATTTTTTAAAGAAGAATTACCTTTCTAAATCTCTCATGTCACAAGTTTTGCTTTAACATATTCCATAAATCTAATCTGGCAAATTCATGTTGTCACTCCAGTAAGCAAACATGCCCAAGTTGATGATAAAACATAACCAGTGCTTACATGTGTCAGACCTGATGTAGACACTTGCCTATAGTTTTTATTATCCCGCTTCACGCATAAGAGAACTGAAGCTCAGAGAAGATTGCTTGCGCAGTGACAGGTGCTGAACTAGGATTGGGGACAGCACTTGGCTCCATGTCCTGGACTTACCCACCGAGCTGCCTTCTAGCCCTCTGCCCTCAGCTCCCTTGTTCCATCCATAAAGGGGGCAGAAAGCAACTTTGGGGTTTGTAAACAGATACACAGACAGCACCTGAAGTGGCTCAGTCTGGGATAAGTTATTGACTTATTTGCAGTTGTTAGGTTTCTCTTGAGAAAATGAAAGTTCAAACTTGGACTGGAAATCAGCAGGAGTCCAAAACACAGTGTCCCGGATGTCAAATTGGACTGACCTGGCCCCAAGTGGCACCCCAGAGGGTGGCATGCATCATGGACTCAGGTCAGCCTTTCATCTTCAGCAGCTCATAGCCCTCTTGCTTGGTGTCCCCATATGAGGACTGCCAAGTATGTACAAGGTGCCTAAAGGGAACATGATAATAATTAGCATAACTATTATTTTAACTTTTAACGGTTTCATAGAACTTATGGTGGGCAGGCACTGTCATTATTTCTTTAAGAACATGAACTCATTTGGCCAATCCCTATTGAGTCGTTTTAAACTCACTGAGGTCCTTTGAGTCAGAGTGGAACTCTTCTCCACGTTTCCAACAACTGATTTTTCTGAAGTGGATTGCTATGCTTTTCTTACAAGGCACTTTGGATGCATTAAAAACTCACACCCTTTCACCTAGCGGCTAAATATGTTAGCCATTTGCACTACCCAGGGACTCCTCAATCATTATTATTGTTTTCCGCAATTTACAGATGAGGAAATTGAAGAAGGTCCAAGTATGCTCAGCTATGGCCCATCACCACTTCCTGTCTTATGTTTAGAGAATACTTAGACTCAAAGAAACCCAACACTTATTGTTGGCATTGGGGGACCTCCCCAGTTGAAAATTTGGGGTGATAGCTGCCCATAGGGTGGAACTAAGCTGGTTAGAAGGTGAAGGTCCAGTCTCAGGCCCAGCCATGTCACTGACTCACAGAGCAACCGTGGATAAGTCACCAGGCTCCATTGGTTTGGGTTCCCTACTTTAAAATAGGGATCGGCATGGAGCCTGGGCAAGCATGAATTGAGATGGATCTGCGTGCACTGTGAATTAAAACTTTGCCTGCGTAGTGGCCTTTCCTCTGTGTAAGCCATCCACCCATTCCATTGATGCTGCTGCAAGAATCCAGCCCCGGGCTATGTACCAGGACAGCCTCTTCCTGCTACAAGGGGTGACTGGCAGGTTCAGTGCTGGGTGCCCTGGGGCTGCAAAGACAAAGAAAGGCATTCCCTTAAAGCTGAGCTGGACATGGAAAAGAATCCTGCCATTGAGTTCCCTGGGTAATTATCTCTTCTCATAACAGAGAAACTTGATTCAGTCCTGATAGTATGTCCAGCCTTTGTAGTGGTCAGGGGTAGATCCCAGTGCTGGCAGGGTAGCCCCTCTAGGCTCTGTCACATTTTCCATGGCAGCCCAGTGGAGAAGAGGGAGCTCTTACCCTTCTCTGTCACTGTGATGAGGTGATGGTTCTGAGAAGCCCTCATTTTAGCCACCCCACAGCCAAGTAAGCCTCGGGTATTCCTGGGAAAGCACAAGTGACAATGGCATCAGGGCACCTAGCTGAGTGAATTCTCCCAATGGAAAATCAAATGCTATAGGGTTTTATTTCTAGATAGCTTCTAATCAGGCCTGCATCTAAGTGGTTCCCAGGAAACCGGTCCTAGGTGCCTGTACCCTGCTGGTTGCCCAGCTTTGGGTGTTTTGAGATCCAAACCATCTTTGGTAATCTGGGGGAGAACTTATTGATGGTTCCTGGTTAGTTGCCATTGAGTCAGCTCCCATAGATGTAACAGAACAAACAGTTTCCTGGTTCTTCCCCGTCTTTCTGATCATCTGTATATTGAAGCCCATTGTTGTGGCTATTTTATCCATGCATCTTATGAAATAACCTTCTCTTTTTTTTTTTTGGCTGACCCTCTACTTTACCAGCCGTGATGTAGCGGTTGGTCTTTTCTTCTGGTATGTCCAAAGTAAGTGAGCAGACTCACCATCCTCAGTTCTAAGTTTCGTGTCTTGCTTTCTGAAGAGCTACACAGGACTGTGGGGTCCACACAGCAGTGTTCAATGACTATGTTTTCTCTCCTCTCCATCCCTGCCTTTGACAGTGTGGCAACTAAAAGGAAAATGGTGACTGAGAGGGTGGGTTGTCCTATTGTTATTGCAGACCCTAGAAACGATGGACACTGGGAAGCCCTTCCTTCACGCCTATTTCATCGACCTGGAGGGCTGCATAAAAACCCTCCGGTACTTTGCAGGGTGGGCGGACAAGATACAGGGCAGGACCATCCCTACAGGTAAGCCACAGTAGGTAGGACTCAGCCTCACTGGATCACTCTTTGGGACTCTGCCTTCCCCTTCATTCTGGGGCATCCTTCCCCACCCTATATAGACATGCACTGGCCTGGTTTCTTCTCCCGAAGCAGTTTTAGTCTTGCATTTGAGTTAAAATGACTTCTTTGTGTCATGGACTGGACATAGCATTGACACCCTTATGGGCCTCTCGGTTTCTTTCTTGTTCTTTTACTACAGTTTACTGTACTGTGGTTTACTGCAGTTCGTCACCTAGGCTAATTTGAGTGTGCTGTTCTCCCTGTTGAACCTTCCTTGCAGATGACAACGTTGTGTGTTTCACCAGGCATGAACCCATCGGTGTGTGCGGAGCCATCACTCCTGTGAGTATGGCAACTTTCCTGAACTAATTCCAAATGATCTGTTCCCCTCTCCTGTGGAGCTGGGAACCACTTTCTGCATTTAATTCCACTGTCCCAGAATTAGTGACCAGTTTCTTTGTGGCATGAAGCTTGGCACTTGAAGGACGCAGCTGACTTTGACTTTGGCCTGCTCGTAAGGGGCCAGTTCTGGAAGTACAACAGAATGGGAATTGGGGAGGAAGTGAGTGCCCCAATTCAATCCTAAAATCATTCCTGATGTCGTTTAGCAGAACCCTGGACCCCTGAGAATAAGGCCCTTGTCTGAACCCATCTGAAGGGGTCAGGACGGCTAGTGACCTTAGAGAGCTGGTCTCTTCACTGGGCCTTGGTGGATAATAAAGACATGCTCCACAGGAAACACGGTTTGTCGGGCAGCAGGAGTGGTCTGAGGAATGAGTACATGTGTCTGAGTGAGTGGGAAGGGATGGCAGATAATGTGAGTAGGATAGAAAAATAATGGGACGGCCTGTGCCACGGGGTGTGACCAGGGCCGCGGAGGGCTGGAACTTTGCCCTCTTGGTAGGGGAAGCCATGCAGAGAGAAGGCCGAGATGCTGCTGTGAGCTTGGGGCAGAGGCCGGTAAGCTGGCTACAGGAAGAATGGACTGGAAAAGAGCTCTGTGGGGGATGAAGACTGTGGCCTTCCACAGTTGTGTGTGAGCACCCCATGTGCCAGGCATGGTGTTAGCGGTCTGAGGTTAACTGAAAGGAAAGAGGCCACATTTGTCCCTAGGCAGCTTGCAGGTCAGTTAGGAGGTTAAGGTGGAATCCACACTAGGAGAGAGAATAAGCCAGAAACCGATTAGGGACAAGCAGGGGTATGGGTTTGAAGACTTCTTACTTGGTAGATTTTTAAGGGTTCAGTGGCTAATCAGGTGATGCGGGGTGGGGACTGGGGGTGGGGGGCAGAGCTAATCCTGATTGCAATTGGATGGGTGCATTGCAGATTCGTGAAATGAGGAGACAGACCAGGGCAGGGTAACAAGGAAGGTGAAAATAATGCTGGGTTGGTAAGGTTGAGGGACCAGTGGAATCACCAAGCAGATGATCTTAACTTATAAATGTATCGCCACATGGCATCTGTCTCCATGTCTATTAGCCCCTCTTATAAGCCACCACAAAGAATGGATCAAGACTACATCTTGTTATTTAACTGATCACAAAATAAAAACCCTGTTTCCAAACAAGGTCACATTTACCACTATGGGGTGCTAGCAGGTCAGCATTTAAAAAAAATTTTTTTTTTTTTTAGCAGTGGGTATACTTTAAGCTATAATAGAATTCCATTCAACATTTGGGTCTAGGACTTGTGAGAGAGAGGGTAAGTCTGGAGCTACACATTGACAATGACCAGCCCAGGGCTGTCTACTAGGTGGGTGAGGCAGTTGAGTTGGTGGGATTGCTCATGGAAGGATGTAGATTATGTAAGCCCTACATTGTAGGGAGAGAAAGAGAGGAACAAAAAAACCATCAAGCATCAGCAGCATCCCAGTAGATAGAATTTATTGCTAGCAAAAGACTGTAGTCCATGGGGTCCAATCTAAGACAGAAAGTAAATAAAAGAAGGACTGAAGAAGTCTTACTCGCTCAGTGAGAGCACTTCTAAGGGAGATTCAGGGGCCCTGAGACAGGTGGGTATCATCAGTCTTCTAAGAAGTTAAGGTGAGAAAGAGGGAAGGGAATTTCTAGAAGAGTTTAAGGCCAAGGGAAAGTTTTGTGTTAACTCGTAGGATAGGAGACGATGATATTCATGAGCTAAGGAGTTGGGAGAAAGAAAAGACCTAATACCATCCAGGTGATTGAACTTAAAAGGTTTCTGAGAATATAAATCTTTAAGGAGTAGAGAGCCTCATATTTCTCCTGAGGAGTAGCTGGTGGGTTTGAACTGTGGCTTATCAGCCCAACCAATACCTAACCCACTACACCACCAAACTCCTTCAAGCCCTAGTAGGAAACCGTAACAGAATTACTGATACTTTATAACAGTGAAACCCTCGGTGGTTCAGATAGTTAGGTTTGCTAGGTGCTAACGGGAAGGTTGGAGGTTGTAATCCACCCAGAGATCTCAGACAGAAGGTCTGGAAATCTCCCCACCCCCCGCCTACACCCAAAAAATCAACCACTGAAAACCCTATGGAGCATATTTCTAGCAACTGATCAATTACTGGTTACATCTAAGAGCGCATACAGGCTGTTGTGAACAGGGTTCTCATCTTTGTTGTCTTGGGCTGGGAATTGTAAGCAAGGTTGATTGGCGAAGGAGACATCCAAGTGAGGGGCTACCAACTGTCCCATAAGGAGGCCATGTCCAGTTGGCCTGTTGGGGTGAGTTTATGGATTAGCATCTCTGTTTGGCCTCCTTGAGCATAAGAAGACCGATTCCTTTGGAGAGGATGAGGAAAAATTAGAATCCAGCAAACTCTTACTCTACGATATTCTGTGCTTCATTCTGGCCCATCAAAGTCTACTAGCTTGAGTCCTGGCTTGACTACCTGCATGCCACCTTGTGACCATGAGCACATGACCTCATCTTTCTATAGCTTAGTTCCCTCATCTGTAAGTGAGCATGGTAATGTTACTACCCCCTAAAGGCTTGTAGGGGTAAAGGGGATTAATATTTTTTAGCATCTTAGAATAGTAAATGCCATATAGTGAACACTGGGGAAGTGTCAAGACTAGTACTACTTAATGCCATGATGACTTCAGAATCCTTGCTTCTAAAATTGAAGGATAAGATAGGCATTTCTGAAGTGCATTTCACCAAACACCATTCACTGGGTCTCAGTATGTATTTCATCAGGAGTGAAAATGACCCCGTGACATCTAAGTTTAATTAATTCCTGCAAGACTGTTCAGAGCCTTTAGTATTGTGATACTGTTAGTATTATAAACCTCCAAGAGGGAAGGTAGTGTGCGTGCTGCAGAATCCTCTTTGCAAAGACACTCTTTAATATCTCCCCTTGGGCTGTGATCTGCAAGGTCAGCAGTTCGAAACCACCAGCCGCTTTTTGGGAGAAAGGGCTTCCTAGTCCCCTAAAGAGCTACAATCTCATAAATTCACAGGGGCAGTTCTCCCTACCCAACTGAAAGGGTCACTGTAAGTGGGTGCTGACTTGATGGCAGCGAGTTTAGAGTTTTAGGATTTAGAATGTCGTTTAGGAAGTGCTAAGCAGCGATGAGACCGTTCTAATTATTGTACGCTCTTTAGAGTGTACTCCAGACCAAGACCATGAAAGCACCCTCCACAGGGTTAGTGTGAGCATTGAGTGCCTGTGACTGCGTGGGGCAGATCCAGACCACCAAGGCTTCAATGCTTTCTGTTGCAGTGGAACTTCCCCCTGTTGATGCTGATATGGAAGCTGGCGCCCGCCCTCTGCTGTGGGAACACCGTGGTTGTGAAGCCAGCTGAGCAGACTCCCCTCACTGCCCTGTATCTTGGCTCTCTGATCAAAGAGGTAAGATGTTCAAAAAGAAAATATTATGTGTTCTTGACCACAGTCTCACTCCCAAGAAGCAGGCCACTGCTGCACGATAAAGCTGTCCGGTTGAACTAGTGCGCAGCCCTGCCAGCCTGTTCGTGGTTGAGTGGGAGGAGCATAGCTCCTATGTTTTGCTTGGCAGCTGCAGTATTGTTCTCCTGCCGAGGGTCACTGAACTAGAAGAAACTCCACTCATGCCCATGAGCCTAATGAGAAAACTTAACTTTTATTATGGGGTTCAACCTAGGGTTTAAGTAAGACCAAATGTTTTTCCCAGAACATTTCTGGGAAGGTCACTCCAGAAGAAACCGCATATTTTGGAACTTACTTGGGCTTTGCATTTGTGGGACATAAAATGGACGCTTTTGCTTCTACAGTTGCACCTGGTCACCGTGGTGCCTCCTCCCCAGTGCTGTCTTTTGCAGTCTTCTCCCCTAGAATTCTCATGGACAGGGCAAGCAAGCAGCTGAAAAGGACATGTCCTCTTAGACACACATGGAAGCATATTTTAATTATCCGATCTCCAGCTTGACTTATATGTGGCAAAGATATAGAAACAGATGAAAAGAAGGATGGGAGAAAAGATGCGTTCATTTCTGGTCTCAGCTGGGTTAGTGCACCCGGGGATTTTTAGTCCTTTATTGCATAAATGCAAGTATGGACCAGACAACCATTGACCAGCCTCTCTTTACTGGTACTGTGGGACATGACTAAGTCACAGTGATTTGAATGATAACTTTTTTGTTTTGATTATTTGAAAGCAGGATGTGTGTCACAAAAGATTTGAAGTCGGTTTGATTTTACTTTTCCTCCTTCTAGAAGGTCCGATGGGTAAGGAATCTGGAGGATTGTTAAAGCTGTCTCTCTCACTTGCTCACTCCCTTTTTTAAAATTTTAAGTTTATTCATTAATTTCCTTCTATTTTGTGGAATACAACATATACAAAGAAAAATATACTCTATCTAATGCACAGCTCATCTCCTCAAAACAATGACAGTATCCCAGTAAACACCAACCTCCCATATGGGGTTCTGTATACTTAGGTTTTTAATCCATTTTGTGTCTGCTTTTGTATATGGTGTGAGATATGGGTCCTGTTTCTTTCTTTTGCAGATCCAATTTTTCCAGCACCATTTACTGGAAAGTGATTTACAACTTAAAAAATCATGAAAGCTAAAATGAAGTGTTTAGAAAAACAAAACACTCAAGAAACACATCTTAAAAGTTTGTTCTGTTTTAGAAAAGTATATATATACACAAGTCACTGAAAATTTGAGAAATGGCAACATCCCCAAGTGAAGCTTGTTCATTTTTTGGTGTACTTAATTAATAGAGGCCTCGTGTGTATAAGGCACAAGATCATGAATGTGAAAATCAACAAGATAGGACTACATATCTTCTGGAAGAAGTCCCTGGTAGTGCCGACAGATAATGCACTTGGCTAACTGAAGAGTAGGAGGTTTTAATCTACCCAAATACCCCAGAAGAAAGGCTGGCATTTTACTTCTGAAAAGTCAACTTTGAAACTTCTGTGAAACCTACACACATGGGGTTACTATGAGTCCAAGTTAACTGGTACTGGTACCTTCTATTCAGACCAGTGTTAGTGTGTCATGGATGAAAAAGTGAAGACATTTGAGAAGGTAATAGTGTCCGTGACCACTTAGAACAACCAATAGAGTAAATTAAAAATGGGGAAAATAATAAAATAAAATAAAAATGGAAGTGTGGGAAGGTCATATTTCAGTGCTTTTGAGAGTTGATAGAGCCCAGTGGTTTAGTGGTTATGTGTTGGGCTGCTAATCACAAGGTCAGTCATTCTAAACCACCATCCACTCTGTAAGAGAAAGAGGAGACTTTCTACTTCTGTAAATAGTTACAGTCTCAGAAACTCACAGGGTTTCTATCCTATAGGGTCACTATGAGTCGGAATCAGCTCAATGGTGGTGGTGTATTGTTTGTTTTCTTTGAGCGTTGGGAGCTGTGACTCAAGGTTCTTCTTGCTGCCCTACAATGGTGTTCCGTTTTGGGAGGTGTCCTGCCATCTTGTGACCTTCCTACATACCTGTTTGTACATACTTCGTGGGTTTGAAACACTCCCTGGGAGCAAGGCAGGTGCTTTCCTTTGGTTCAGCTGGCACACAGGGATTTGGGCAGAAAGAGGCAAGCCCTTCAGGAGACCCTAGCCAGCACAGCTTCACATGACTCTACCTGGTCAGAGTCAGGATTCACAAGCTGGGATCACAAGGTGGGTGTATGGCCCATGTCCAGGCTTCCTGTGTGGAGTGCTGCTCTGGTCAGTGATATGCAAAGTCTGCTCAGTGGCTCATACAGCCTATGGCCAATATTCATCAGTTTTCTTCCTGTGACGACAATCTCTATTTCTTCCCAGGTCGGGTTTCCTCCAGGTGTGGTGAACATCGTGACAGGTTTTGGGCCCACAGTGGGAGCTGCAATTTCTTCTCACCCTCAGATCGACAAGCTAGCATTCACTGGGTCCACAGAGGTAACTCTTCATAGGCTGTTGACAAAAGTATTAGTCACCAGTGACTTGAAACTCATGAACTTTTCCTTCCAGAAGCTAAAATATCATTCCTTTACTTAAATTAGACTACTGTTAAATACATAATAACTAGTCTAAAAAACCACTCATTTAGTTTTCAAATTAAATAAATATTTACTAGAACTCAGAAGCCTCACAAGAAAAGATTGGCTGATAGGATAAAATTAAACTGTAAGACTTCCTATGGCAAACAACATCATAAAAGATGTTGTTTTTCTCCCAGCTTGGTACTTATGGGAGAAAAGCAGTCATAATCTATGCATCTCTCCAAAGTATAATGCCTTAGGTGTGAAGCATTTCTACTAATCAGTGAAAGAATGACAATTCAATGGTGGGAAATGGACAACCCACGAAGAGAAATACCAAATGTTCTCCTTGGAGACAAACATTGGTACTTTGGATTTACTCCAGCCTCATTTAGGCCATTACTCATGAGCTTCCTAAGCTCTAATAGCATTTTTTTAAACTTTAATAAGCATTTGCACCTACTCATCAGTTGTCATTAGTGGACTCTAACTCACGGCCACCCATACGGGTTAGAGTAGGGTTTTCAATGGCTGATGTTTAAGAAGTAAATCACCAGGTTTTTCTCCCAAGGCATCTGGGTGGACTCAAACCTACCACCTTTTTGTTAGCAACTGAGCATGTTAACTGTTTGTGCCAGCAAGGAACTCCAAACTCATACCTTAGTGCTGCATAAAGAGCATCAAACTTAGAATAGTCTAGTTCTTCTTCTTGCTAGATTTCAACTCTAGCCTCCATGTCCACATCTGTAGGAGAAGAGGATTTGAGAGGTCATTTCCAAGACACCTTTTAGCTCTAGAGTTCCTGGCTCCTGACTTTACTTTTGCACAAGACTAATTAGAGCAGCATCTTGGCCAACCTCCCATCTTGAGATGCTTCCAGTTATGAGGCCCTGTGGCTACATTCGGGAGGTGCATCATTACAGTTTGGTGAGCAGTACTTCTGCTACTTCATTGGGTCCTAACCAGCTCCCTCCCTCTTTTGTGTTCCCAAAGAATTCCCTTTAATACTTGGAGGTTCCTTTAGACTACACCAAAAAGCCACACAGGCAGGCCTATCTTCAGTACTGAGCTGTTCGAATCTTCATATTAGAATGGCAATGTTATTTGCAAGAAGTGAAGGAAATACCCCTTGGTATCCTCAAACCCTATATTGCAACCAGTTTGCTGAGCTCATAGGGACAGGTGGTTAGGACAGGTGATTCTGAGTTCAGGAGCTTTTGGGGCAGAGACTGGTGTGCAGCCTGCGCCAAATCACCTGGCCTTCCGAGGCTCCCATCTCACACTTGTAAGATGGAGTGGACAGAACCAAGAAGTCCAGAAAAGTAAGGTCTAATTTGTGATCAGATGTAGGAAGAGGCCTGGAAAGTGGGAGCCTTGTGATGTGGGGTGGCCCTGCGTACATAGCTCTGTCACCAGCTTGCTCAGAGCAGTCATAAATAGGAACATTTGAGCCAAGGTCAAGATTTAAGCTTGTTCATCTTTTTATCCTAAAGGTTGGGAAGCTAGTTAAAGAAGCTGCTTCTCGAAGCAATCTGAAGAGAGTAACACTGGAACTTGGAGGCAAAAACCCATGTATCGTGTGTGCGGATGCTGACCGTGAGTCTCTCTCTCAGCTCTGCTGGGGCTCAGGGGTCCCTACAGAAGGGGGATGCTTTGCCACCTGGGGTAATCTTGTCTACCATCATCCAGCCTGCATAACTACACAGCCTACATAGCTAAAGCTGAAAATGCCAGCTCTATAGTTGATTCAGAGCTGCTCTGTGGGAGGGCACGACTTAGTCTGAGGGCTGCCTGCTTCTGTCCCTCATGACTAAGTTTACCTCATGATACTTGAGAAGCAAGCCCAATTTCTTCACCAGACTTCCCTGGTGTAGTAGGGATTGGGGCAGGAGTACATCAGTGGGAGAAGGGCAGGTGCTCCTAGCTAATAAGCATGAACCTAGTCTTTCCTCCAAATGTATAAGTCCAATAGTGTCATTTTTAGGTGCTCTAGAGCGTTGAGAGGGTTTCTCCTTCTTCTAAAACCAGTGGGCATAGTGGAGTCAGTGCCAACTCGAGGTAGCCCATGTGTGTCAGAGTACAGCTGTGCTCCACAGGCTTTAAACCATGGCTTTTTCTGATACTAGACCTTCCTTCGCAGGCATCTTTGAATGGACTTGAACTACCCATGGGAAAATGTTAACATTTATAACGTCCTTCCTCCTCCTTTCTCTCAACTCCCAAGTCAGAGGTGGACAGTAGAAATACCCCCTGTCTTCAGTACTATCCTCTCCACCCCCCACAACTCTTCCCTGAAGAAATAGTCCAGCGTGGCAAGTTGAGGGCAGCTGGTGCCTCGTTAGAGTTACATGACACGATATTAAAATATGTGCTATTTTTGGCTGCCACTCCCCGAAGAGAGAAAGAGGGGTCATCCTGGGCATTCACGGATCTGCTGACAGAATCCACTATTCAGGGATGTGACCTCCAGAGTACAGGAAATACTTTGCCTTAAAAATGGCCTCCTCTGATAATGTCAGAACAAGGCCTTCTTTCTAATGCCATATTCAGATAAAGTTGGAATTCCAAATCTTCCTGAGAAAAATGACAAGTTCTCACTAAGATGTAAATGAATGATACAAATTGCTTTCTTTGAAGCAGGCTTTCAAATGAGAGAGTATTTTGAGAGAGGTGACAAGTTGATGCTGACTCATTGTGACCCTGTAGGTCAGGGCAGAACTGCCCCTGTGAGTTTCCGAGACTGTCATTCTTTAAGGGAAGTAGAAAGCCCAGTCATTCTCCCACAGAACGGGTAGTAGTTTCAAACTGCTGACCTTGCAGTTAGCAGCCCAAAGTGTAACCAGTATGCAAACAGGGCTCCAGATATTAAGAAGGCTCTGAGAAAGGAGAGCTGTGCTCAGAATGGACACTGGGCTGCAGAGAGGGTGGGGAAGTGCTTAGGGTGGACACAATAAAGTCATGGTGCTTCCTTGTTGTCACAGCATCTTACATACATCTTGCAGTAGGGTCCCTTGTTTTTGCTCCATTTCTCAAGCAAGCAAGGAGGGGTGGAGAGTGGAGGAATGGTACAGGGCTGAAAAGCCAATGATGGGATTGCACAAGGTCCCTCTGTAAATGTAAGTGACATGTAGGTGCCATTCCTACATCTTCAGATATATAGAGATAGAGATATGTATCTTCATAGATCTTTCTTAATAAGCAACCTTCCATCTTCAGTTTAGCAACTGGTTTTAATTAAATTCTCACCCTATAATTTGTACTCAGCTCTGCTAAGCCTCAATAAGTGCTTTAGCTTTTTTTTCTAGCTCTTCAAAGTCACACATGGTGCTATGTTATTTAATAAAAAAATGTTCTTTCTCTTAAGATGGGAGCTTTTTGGCTCCTTTTAAAGTTATATTCAATTGGCCTATATCAGTTCTTACAAAGTTTGTTCTAAAAAGTATTCTTGTTAGTGGCCCCAACTCATGGTGAGCCTATGCACAATGGGATTAGGTCATTGTGATCGATAGGAATTTAATTGTGTACTTTTTTGGTGTATATATAGCACCAGCCTTTCTTCCTAGTCTGTCTTAGTCTAGGATTTGTGCTGAATCCCATTTAACATCATAGTGATACACAAGTCTCCACTGACAGATGGGTGGTGAGTGTGCATGAGGTGCATTGGCCAGGGTCTCATGCATGGAGGGTTAGACCCCTACCAGAATCATTACTGCATTTGTTCTGCAAATCAAGGAGGGGCCTTCCAGGGGCAAGTACATTAGGGACTGCTACAGCTATGAGTACTGATTAACACAGTAGATATACTAACTAGTCCTGCATCGAGGGATGTAAGCCCAAACTTGGTTGACCTTTTGTAAGCAATTAAAGTTGCCCCTGTCACCTGTCCTGCTTTAATGACTCACCTGCTTCCTCCCACCTGCAGTGGACTTGGCTGTGGAGTGCGCCCATCAGGGTGTGTTCTTTAACCAGGGCCAGTGCTGCACAGCAGCCTCCAGGGTGTTCGTGGAGGAGCAGATCTATGCTGAGTTTGTCCAGCGAAGCGTGGAGTACACCAAGAAGCGCCCTGTCGGAGACCCCTTCGATGCCAGGACTGAGCAGGGGCCACAGGTAACCGACTGATGGGTCTGGTCCCAAGGTGCCTGGCTAGGAGCTCAGTAGACCCGTTCTTCTAACTGCTTCTGCAGACCTTGTGTACTACTGTGGTTGTATGGCACTTTGAAGGGCAGGAGCATTGGCTCTCCCGAGCACTAAGACACAATTTAGATGCTTATCAAGTGTGCAGGCCTTCCGGTGCCAGTGGCATCAGTGGGAGAGGGTTGGGTGCATGCTCAGCTCTCTACAGCAGATGTGTACCATACATGCTCCCTGGCAGAGGCAGAACCCTAGATCATAGAACCATCTGCTCCCACCTCATGCTGTCTTAGAGTGCCTCCCTTCTGCTGGCCCATCCCCACCCCCAGCAGAAAACGACTGTTCTGTCTGACTTACCAGAATGACCTCCTTTCAGAAAGGTAGTTAAGAGGCTCCTTAGCCAGGAAGGGCGCTCATGGCTGGCCTACAGTGCCGCAGGTCTAAAAAGTCAGATCGCAGGCAGCTTTCCACCTGGAGGCACTGGACTTCATGAGCATTGTCGAAGAAGGTGAGGCTGAAAAAAGTTTCCTAGATGTCCTAGAGGCCAGGATGCATAGCTGAGCCTTAGGAACATATCTCTGGAGGCCTGGCTTGGAGAACTAAGGGCAGGACGAACATGATCATAACCACCCGAATCACCTCTCTAAAAAGGCACCCCCTTTATCACTTTCTTGCTAATTTTAAAGGGAAGTAGATGGATAAATACTTGAAAGAGGGCAGCCTGACCAGCCACATGTTCAAGAGTCCTTGAGGAGATTTTGCCCCTTGACCACTGCCTCTGCATGGAAATCTGACTCTGATTGTAGAGCTGACTGACGTTTTGTAATCTGAGAAACCTTCCTAAGCCTTAGTTTTCTTATCTGGAAATTGGAGATAATATGTGAATATTGTGAGTTTCATGACACTTATTAGCTACTCAATACAGAGTAGTTTTTATTTTTTAAATAGGAGGATATAAATGCCCAAGGCCCTCTGATCTACATAGTGGTAAATGATCACACATGACTTCAGGACTAGTCTTGCTTAACTGTCTTGTGGGTATGCTGGAGCTGGTAGAGCATGGAGGACCATGTGGAAGAGGCCTGCATTTCTGGTGGGAGTGACTGCCCTCTCCCCATCCCTATACCCTGAGTCTCTGATGCCTCGTGACCCCATAGGAAAGCACCTCCACTGTATCAATCAGTCCTCCCTCGAGTCGCTGCCTACCCTCTACCTCCATTCCAAACCCAGTGGCCATGGATTTTAATTCCAAATACAACCATAGTCATTATCAAATTCACCATGATTTTGAGGCTAATCTGGAGTTGATGAGAAATATGTAAGCTGATGCAGTTCTAAGGAAACCCTTTCCCCCATCATTATTTGGCAAGTCTCTTCCCAAAGCTCCAGTGTAAAATGTTAAAGCCACATCCACAGATTGCTTCCTAAAGAGGAGAGCCAAGCAGAATAGGTGCTGATTTCATCAGTGCTTTTAAAACTGCTGCTGGAAAGCCTTGTGAAAACTCACATAAGCTATCTAACCTCAGAATATTGTTTTAGGACACAGTTGGGTGTCATTCCTTCCAAAGTACCTTTTTTTTAGTCAATGGTAAGAAGATTTTGCTTCGGCACACGTACAGCTGTCTAAATAGCCCTGTGTGTCTCATGCCTATAAAACAACTAACTGACCTAGATCTGTGTCCACTAGAGGTGAGCTTTTCTTTCAAACATGCCAAAGTTATTCCGGTTTATTTGGCAACTGAGCAATAAGATGCATAAATATTATTCAAACCACCTGCCCAGGGCTGAGTCTGGTATCCACTCTGTCTAGCTTAGAGCATGGCCCTCAGAACCTTGTCCCTAGGGGACCATATTTCTTGGTTTCTGGGGCTGGGCTCTGCCTTGTCACCTCATGTTTGGCAGCTTCCTCTTCCTGTACAGAAGACATCAGCGGAAACTTAATGGAGGGTCCTAGATTTAAACAATATGTTCACAGAATTCCTAGGGAGAGTGTATTTAGGATGTGTAGGTTTTACACAGGGGGCTTACACTGCTGGAAGAACAGATGGACTCTGTAGTCTGTTTGTGCAAGGGAAACATGGTCAGCAGGGTCCCAGAACACATCATCTGTAGTTTGATGGAGGCCTCAAACTCTTCTGCCTTCAGGGAAGAGGAGGTGGCTCAGCAACACCTGGAAATTTTAATTCAAGACTGGGTTCACCCAGGGGGATGTAAAGAGAGCTTTGGGACATTACTGGCTTTTTACCTATTACAATAGCTTTATCTATATCTATCTATTTATCTAATTCTTTGAATGGAAGTTACATTCACTTAGATTTTTTTAAAGGTTTAATACAAATGTAATTTTTTTAAAACTCCTTCTCAGCCCCTATCTCTTACATTGATTCTTATGAGCTATACAAATGTGAATATATATTTCTATTTGTGCATTATTATTACATAAACACACAAACAAACTCATTGTCATTCAGTCAAAGTCAGTGCTGTCATGTAGTAACCTGATAGGACAGGGCAGAATGCTCCCGGTGATTTTCTAAGACTAACTCTTTGTGGTCATAGAAAGTCTAGGCTTTCTCCCTTGGAGCAGCTGGGTTTTGAACTGTTGACCCAGCAGTTAGCATCCCAAAGTGAAATCACTATGGCACCAGAGCTCCCTGTTACATAAAAGATACTCTGATATCTGTACATTTTGCACCATTTTTTCCTTTTTAAGAAAAAATAAATAAAGGTTTTCCATACTCATTCATGGGAATCTTCCTCATTCTTTTCCACGTGTTCATAAGAGTTCCCTAAGTTACTTAAGCAATTACCTTCTGAAGATATGTGGGGGGGTGCTATCACACACCATCCACAGTGAGTATATCACGTCACAATGTACAAAAAATATCCAAACACAAAGTCTCCAAAGTGGGATTGCTGAGTGGAAACAGGGTTGTGATTTCTGCAAACAATGCCAAATTATCCTCCTCCCAGGATGAGCTAACGTTCCTGCAACAACGTCCTAGGTGACTCTTTGGAAAGCAGGCTTTCCAACATGATATGTTGTCAACCTTTTGGGTTTTTGCCCATCTGATCATTAAAAGTGGTGTGTCACTTAGTTTTAAGATGATGTATCTCTTACAGTGAGGAAGATGGAAAACTTTATCATACATTGAAAGACTATTTACAGTTCCTTGTCTATTTACTGGACACTTTCTTTGCATACATTGCAGGTAATTTTTCTTGTCAATTCTAAAAATAGATGTCTAGGTCTGTATTAGAGTAATTAGCTCTACTACTATAATAGGGCTTGACAATCATTTCCCCAAAATGTTTGTGTTGCCCTTTGGCCTTGCTTATGTTGTTTGTGCCATTTTTCTTATTTTTCATAATCAAATATATCAACTTTTCCTCTTTTATCTTCTAAAGTTTGAGTCATGTAAGAGTCAACGGCACTCCAAGTTTGTAGAGCCACTCTCCAACAGGAGAAAACTTGAAATGGTTTTCACAGATTTTTTTCTATATCTAGAATTTATCTTGGTATAAATTGTGAGGTAGCAATTCAGCTCAGTTTAAGAGAGCTTCAAGAAGTTCGTGGAAAAATCCATTATCTTTTCACTTCACTTTTCCACACATTTTCTGAAGCACCCTCATAATTATTAAACTAGAACTACAATGTTTGAGGTAACTGTCAGCTCCTCGGGGCAAGCAGTTATCCAAATGTACCATTGAGTTTTTGTTTTTCTGTAATACTATTTAAATGAAACCAATTTTTCTATCTAAAGTCTTTGTTCCAATAAGCTTTTTCAAGCTCTGGCTCTCCTAGCCAAAGAGGAGGGGACTTTAACAGGGTCTTGGTAAAGAACAGAGACCCCACGAATTTCAGGAGGAAGAATCCATGAGGGAGGGTGGTTGTCAGGAAGAGCACGTGTCCCTTTGAAGAATTTCCTAAGAGTACCTAACGAGGTGCCCTTTCAACAACAGCTTGGGTACCATGTCCACTGGGCCAGTGACAGAGAGAAAACTCCAGCCAGAGATTCCCATGGACAAGGTGACAAAAGATGGACCCTTTCTGATGCACTCCTTTCACACTAGCAAGGAGTATCCACAGGCCCATTCCACTCTGCTTCCCTCCCATTGTGCCTCTGCCAATTCCAGTAACTGTTACCCTAATCCAGCATTTTCCACAGTAGGCAATACCACACCTTGGGGGTGCTGGAACAATTCAGGGGGCCTGCAAAGGCAGATACCTATACTTTATCCTGGACTATAAGCTATGCTAAAAATGCTTTAATTGCTAAAGTAGAGGCTGGGGGTGGGGGCACTGAGTAATTTTTTTTTTCCTGAAAAGGGGGGTTGTAGACCAAGTAAATTTGGGAACCTACATCCTAACTCCTGGTGCTATGTGAACAAGATAAAGGGGTGCCAGTCAGAATACAGGACTCCCACTTCTATTTGAATTTCAAATGTACAACAAAATATACTTTATGAATATTGCATAGGACATACTTATGCTAAAAGTAGTTTGGGAATCTGAAATTCAAATTTAGCACAGCATTCTGCAATTTTACTTGCTGAATCTGGAGACATTTGCTGGTGGCAAATAGTCTGAAAAGCAGAGAATGTGATCAGTTAGATTCATGTCACCCAGGGGCTGGATTAGCAGGGAGAAAGCACATCAGATGTATGAATAAACCATAGACCTCAAGAGGTTGAGAATAGTACCTTTCCCCATCCCTCCCTTTTCCCAAGAGCCTGGATCTGGGCATCAGATGGATATTTGCAGCCAAGGTGCGTATGGTCTTGCAAAGGTCGTCACAATTATCAGCTGTCCTATGTGACTGTTCTTGCCAAATCAGTACAGAATGTCCACCACCACCCTGAAGGAAGCCTGGACTCTACTTCCTGTTTATGTTTTGCAGATTGATCAGAAGCAATTTGACAAAATCATCGATCTAATTGAGAGTGGGAAGAAGGAAGGTGCCAAGCTGGAATGTGGGGGATCAGCTATGGAAGACAGAGGGCTTTTCATCAAACCCACTGTCTTCTCCGAAGTGACTGACAGCATGCGGATTGCCAAAGAGGAGGTACGTGGGATCTTCAGAAAAAGCCGCTGGTAGTGGGGCAGATGGCTGAACTGGGGTTGGACCTTTCCAAATGGAGTTTTTCTTTAGAGCTCTAGGATCCCAGAACTGCACCTGAAGAGAGGATTTTTCCTTTATCTTGTAGCCTTTACCACCTCCTTCGGGAGACTTAGGGAAGCCATCTTGCCCTCCTTCCCCTGACAAACCCTGAGGACCGTATGGCAGGTAGAGAGTCTGCCAGGCCCCCCACCCTAGTTTCCATATACCAGTCTTTGTCTGGGGAGCGATCCCTGAGTTAGTCATGCTGGCTGGAGGTAGGGAGTACTGTGGCTACCCGTGAAGTCTGTCAGGAATCAAGACGTGGATTCGCTGCCAAAGTGGCTTCATTTTCCCAAGACCTAACCAAGTATTCATTTAAAGAACAGGCCATGGGTAAAGTCCTCATTGAAGTTTAACATCACAAACAAGTTAAAACAATTATCATCAAATAAATTCCAACTCGTGGCAACCCTACATGTGCCAGAGGAGAGCTGTGCTCCATAAGGTTTTTCATGGCTGATCTTTTCACAACTCTTCTCAACCCGTACCTCAAACGACCCTTTCACAGGGGTCACCTAAGACCAGCGAAAACACATATTTCTGATGGTCTTAGGAACCAAGACACCCCTCCTCTATCCGTCTCCAAGCAGGTCTGCCCACATATGAGTATCCGGTGTGAAGACTGTTACCCATACTACACCATGCTTCAAGACAAAATTTCATTTATTTTTAATTAGAAATAAATATTTCACAATATAGAATTACATATTGCTTTTGTGATTAATCACCCTGATTTAATTATGTTCAATTTGTAACAATGAAAATACATCCTATATATCAGATATTTTTATTACAATTCATAACAATACTTATGAAGTAGCAAGGAAAATAATTTTATGGTTGGGGTCACCACAACATGAGGAACTGTATTCAAGGGTCGCGGCATTAGGAAGGTTGAGAACCACTGTTTTAGTAGATTTCCAGGTCTTTCTTCTAAGGCACCCCTGGGTGAACTGGAACCTCTAACCTTTGGGTTAGCAGCTGAGTGGGTTGACTCTATGCCATCCAGCAACTCCTTTTCATCAGAGGTATCCTTAACATGATGGAAATGAAGGATGCTTCCATAAGAAGATAAATCTAACTTTGCTTTGAAGTCCACCGCTAAACTACATGCAGAGTGGTTCCTGCCCAGCATTCATGGAGGGCGAGGGCCTGTTTCTGAGTAGTTAGAGCTGCGAGGTAGCCTTTTCAGACTTGCGAGGAAGTCAATTACTGGCAAGGGCTTCTTGGTGCAAAGACTTCATCGACTTTCTTTGAGGACTTTTGAGTTATCAACTGTAGTGGCATGAAGTTCTGCTCTTTATGTATCACTGTAACAGAGTGTTCTCAGGAAACCTGTGAAAATGTCATTAGGCTGGACACCAGCCTGAGGCGCTACAGACTCACTTGTATTGAATTGAATCAATTAAAAGCTTGCTTCAAAATTACTTAAAACTTTTCAACTGTTTACTTTCTCCTTTCCTTTTCTTTGCCGTGGGGAAGGCTGGAATGAACAGTCTTATTCCTCACCTGGGAGGCATAGAACATATCAGGGTGTCTTTATTGGTAAAAAATTAAAATAAAGAGAGCGGGGCATTCAACATCACAACTGTGCTCTATAACCCAAAACTGTTGAGTGAATTCCAATTCCTAGCAGTCTTATAAAACAGAATTGACTTGTTCGATGGTATTCTGAAATGGTGACTCTTTCGGGAAGCAGACTGCCTCATTCTTTTCTTGAGGAACAGCTGGTGGGTTTGAGCCACTGACTTTGCAGGTAACAACCCACCTCTTAACCCATGGGCCACCAGGGTTTTGAGACTCTTGCCTCTTTTACACATATAAAAAGTACATGTATAAAAAAATTATTGTCTAGGGGAGAAAGGACTTCTAAAATCCTAATAGCAGTATGATTGTTGAAATCCGAAGGGAGGATTAAAATGAGACAAAAGTAAACTGAGCAATAACCAAAAAAACCTCTGAAGAGTATAAGATCTCTCATTGCACAGGTTCCCCCGTCTTCCAGTGAGTTTTGTTTGTGAAAATGTGGCGGTAGGCCAAAAAACTTTGGAAACCTATGTGTTACAGAGTTAGAACTGCTTGGTAGGGTTTTCTTAGTTGTGTTCTTTATGAACACAGATCCCAAGCCTTCTGGGACAGTGCTGGGTAGGTTTGAGGTACCAACTTTTTGGCAAGTAGATAACCACAAACCATTTGCACCAGCCAGGGCTCTTTCTACCAAACACCCAATAGGAGTTTCCAAATTTGTGTGTCTTCTGCACATTCTGACATGACAAGCATGAATCTCAAAGCATAAATTTCCCATTGGAACATACCTCTCACTGCCATTCTTGCCCATTAATGATAGATTTTTGGACCAGTCCAACCAATACTGAAGTTCAAGAATATTGAAGAAGTGATCACAAGAGCGAATAGTACTGAATATGGACTCACAGCAGCTGTGTTCACTAAGAATCTCGACAAGGCCCTGAAGCTGGCATCAGCACTAGAATCTGGGACCGTGTGGTAAGTTGGTTTGTGGTGTTTCTGCTTTCCTTTGCTGTTCGTTTGCTAGTTTCATGATACCTCAAATTAATAGGCAGCTTCAAATCTAATATTTGGGGGGTAAGTCTTGTTCTAAGTACTTTGCTCAATCCTAATGGCCGCGTCTGAGATAGGCATCATTATTAGCTCCATTTTACGGACAAGGAAATAGAGTCATTGATGATCAATGAATGACTTGCCCAGGGTGTAGTAGGACAGACAAAAGCAAATGCCATAAGGCTCCAACACTATTGCTTTTGACCCTCATACTGTACTGTCTTAGAACTTCACTCCTGGCTTTTATTTTGGTTCTGATTGCAAAAAAATATGTACTACAAAGTATGGATAATCATCACTGCCTCACTAATATTCTGCAGATTACATTGTATTATCTTTACTGTGTAAAATAAATGGAATGGGGAAAATCTCAAGCCCAAAACTATACAGTTTGGAAGCAGGAGAGCTTTGGGGTCAGGTCTGCCTAATTTCAAAGCTAATTCTTATTCTCTTCTTTCTTTCTCTTTCTCTCTCTCTATGCCCCTCTCTCTCTGTCTACCCTCTTCACATTCCATTCCTATCCCTGTATACACGAGCATTATTTTCTCATGAGAAGAGTGTAATGGCAGAAGTTAAAAACATTGTGTTTGAATTATTGAAACATTTACAAAAGGTAATTCATTAGGCAATGCTCTGCTTCCAGTATCTTCCAGCTGATTCATGAGGAAGTCATCCAGTTGGGTCTCATCCAGGAAATTAAGAACATCTTTATTTTTTTTCTCTAGGATCAACTGCTACAATGCCATCTATGCACAGGCTCCGTTTGGCGGCTTTAAAATGTCTGGGAATGGCAGAGAATTGTAAGTGTTGTACCAATCTCAGCCTGCAGGTGGGGTACATAATGAAGTGTATTTGCAGAGTGGTGACCTTCCACCCTCCACCTGTGTTTGGGTCAGCAGTGCCAGGAAAGCAGTTGTCTTTTCCCCCCTCGGGCTTTTCTGGATCCATCCATTCCTCTTCTCTTCCCCCACTTCCCACTCTGGTTTTCTACCCTGCTCCTCTCAACTTCCCTCAGGCCCCAAGATCCACCCCAGCTGGAACGACCAAGGTTATCATTGCCAGCCTGAACCCAAATCCAGCCAGCTGCCTGACCCAAATCCAGCTCTGTCCTGACCCACAGCCACCCTGTAGGAGAGAGTGGACCCTCCCCACAGGGTTCATCAGGCTGTCATCGCTACAGAAGCAGACTGGCACGTCTTGCTGCCTTGAAGTGTCTTGTGGATTCGAACTGCTGACCTTGTTTTTTGAGCATACACTATACCTGAGATATGCAGAAGAGACTTAACACCTGCTCAGTAGATGAGGACACACAGAACTGAAAGTAGTGCTATTTTTGCCGGATCTCAAACTTACTGCCTTGACGTCGCTCCCAACTCATAGCTCCCCCCAAGACAAGGTAGATCTGCCCTTGTGAGTTTCCTTGACAGGAATTGAAAGCCTGGTCTTTTCCCCAGAGGAGCTGGTGGTTTCCAACTGCTGATACTACAGTTAGTAGCCTAACACATAATCATACTTCTGCATGTTTCCTGACGGCATAATAGTGATGCAGGAGTAAGACAAGGCATTCTATTCCCATAGAGCAGCGGTTCTCAACCTGTGGGGCGCAACCCCTTTGGGGGTCAAACAACCCTTTCACAGGGGTTGCCCAATTCATAACAGTAGCAAAATGACAGTGATGAGGTAACAACAAAAATAATTTAGTGGTTGTAGGGGTCACCACAACATGAGGAACTGTATTTAAGGGTCACGGCATTAGAAAGGTTGAGAACCACTGCCATAGAGAATTACAGTCTTAGAACCCAAAAGGGAAGTTCTACCTTGCCTTTTAGGGTCACTATGAGTCAGAATTCCAACTCAATGGCAGTGTATTTGGTTGCTGGATGTAAGATATAATTTTTGAATAATATATGGATTTAAGCCCTGATATAGATCCTGGCTCTCAACAAGGAATATAGAGCATCTCTGCCTCTCTGGCCCAGCTTCTTTAGCCGAGCAGAGGTCCTCAGAATGTCAGGGGAGACTCTGGATCCTTGTTACCCTGTCAAGAGGCATATTATAGAACTTCCTGATAGACTTGTGTGGGTCCATCATTGTGTTCCACCTATCTCATACCCCTACACCTTCCTATCTAATAGGAAAATTAGTTTTGTAGGTTTATGCTCACAGATCATCTTGTATTAGGCCCAGGATGAAAGGCATTGGATACAGGGCTGGTTAGTGTGATGTTAGGATAGATGCGCAGTGGTCTACAGCCAGATGCCATCTTCTTTCACCTACTTGCTTTTTGGTGGGCCACAGGGTTTGAACATGCTTTGTAGACAAATAACTCATGGATTACTCTTTCCATGAAGCCATCTATGAAAATATCCCTAGGATCTTTCCTGGGACATCACTAATGGTTCAGAGTTCTTCCCTTCATTTGAACTGTTTGTATTATGTGTATACACATGCATTGCCTTGTACTTGCTTGTACAAAGGTAACAGACCCAGAGGCTTCCCCTTGGTTTGACTGCTCTGTGCTAGACCATACTGGGGGCCTTCAGAAAGCTTAACTTTCAGATTTTCAATAAAGATACTAAAGCAAAATAGGCTGGCATTCATTTCTAAGCAAATATTCTTGGCCAGTTCCCTTCCTTCAACTTGGTCTTTCTTTCTAATCCATTTCTGACTCAAGACAGAACAGCTCTATAACAGTTGAATATCTGAGTAAAGTGTGTCCACTGATATTCCCCTATTCTCATTCTTGGCTCTCCCTTAGCAGGGGTATAATCTCTGAAGGTTCTCAGGGTAGGAGGGGAGCAGTGGGGTTGGTGAGGGGACACATCTTTCCCTTCTCTTTCTGATAGCCCCAGGTATTTCATGTGTTCTCAGCATTCTTTAACTTGTAGCTGCATCTCCATATGGTGGCTTCCCTCTGTTTGTCTCTGTGTCTCTTTTCTTGTATCAAACCTGACTCATGTTAGAAGGAGCCCTGGTGGTATAGTGAGTCACACTCCACAGGACAAAGAGGAGGCCTCAGCGGAAACCCAGAGTGGCAGTTCTACTCTGTTCCTTAGGGTCACTGTCAGTCAGAATCCATGCCAGTTTGTGAGAGTTTGACTCATATTGGATTAGGACCCACCTTATTCCAGTATGAACACATAACTGAAGACCCTTTATTCAAATAAGGTTGCATTCACAAGTATTATGGATTAGGACATCAACATATCTTAGGGGGGACACAATTCAATTCATAATAGTCCCCAAAGCAAATATCCCGAGATGGAGAAGCCACCAAAATGATGTGTGGGGCCAACTTGATTTCTAGTTTGGAGTAATTTTACTGATTATTTGCCTTCCTCACATGAGTCACTTTCTCCCCGCTCCCAAACACACTGGTGGTGCTTCCATCTCTTTGACGCCCCCTGGCCTAGCGCACAAGAACTCTGTGGGGCAGTGGGTTAAGGTTTGGGCTGCTGCTCACGGGTTCAAACCTATCAGCCACTCCTCAAAAGAACGATGAGGCTTTCTACTCCTGTAAAGATTTACAGCCTTGGAAACCCTGTGGAGCAGGTCTACTTTGCCTTCATAGTGATAAGGTCACTATGAGTTGGCATTAACTCGATGGCAGTGATGGGTGCCTGGCAGATTTCAGACTTTTTTCATATGGGTTGAACATGTCCAACGTGTAATCTTGCCAGTTAGTCACAACTTGGAGTTCAAAAACAAAACAAAACAAAAACGCTTTATGGTGAGTTGGGTGAAGATTTGCAGAGCAGATCATAGTTTTACATTCAACACTTCATATACATTATGAGTTAACTCATCCATTGCCAGTCCCTCATGCACCATCACTTATCCCACTTCTTTCCTGTGTCTCCTGTTTCCGCTCCTGTCTTCTTTCCCAGCCTCTGAACCTTGTCCTTGGGTAAATGCTGCTCCTTCAGTCCTAAATGTGGGTTATTTTGACATAGAGGTGAGTTCAGTTCCAGATCTGAACGGTGAGAGCCATAATCTTGATATGCTACTAGTCTCCACCCAACCAGTACACTGATTTATCTTATGATTTTTTTCTGTTCCATAATTTTATCCCCTACTACCCAAGACCTTCCTTTCACAGCAGCTGGTAGTGGTCCCCAGGGACTTTGGGTCTCAGGCGGTAGAAACTGATGTTTGTGTAGTCCATTAGTCCACTGGACTAATTGTTCCCATGTGTCTTTCGATTTTTTCTGTTCTGAATGGTGAGGGACAACTAGATGAGCTTTTAAGATCCTAGTCACTGCTTACCATAGAAGAAGGTAGAACATTGTCTTTGTGAACTATTTTATGCAATTGGCACTTTAAAAACGATCTTGCTTTTTGACCCTTGCACATGTTTTACCAAGATTTTTGGTAAAGTATTTAAAATAATTCACAAGGAGCTCAGAAACTGATCTTACAACACATATCTGTTTCAGTTATCTCTAAACGATGTCTCCGTGCTGCAATGCAGTTCCCTTTCTGCATGCTACAGTGCTATGTGGTGCATTCCATGGTTTTCCCCATCCTCAGCTGCCCACTCACAAGCTCCTCTGGGATCCTGTGCAGATCTTGGATTGAGGCCTACAAATTCCCCTTCATCCTGTTCACCCAGTTTCCTAGTTGTTTGTTCTGTGCTAGAGTAAAAGTAATCATTATAGGAACAGAATTTCCCTGCAGTAGGCATGTAGAGAGTTGAATTCTCCCTCCCTTGGTCCTCAGTTCAGTCCCATTTGTTAGAAGTAGCCACTTTTCAACCATTCATTTTAATCATTCATTTGACAAATATTTAGTGAGTACCTCTGATATGCCAAACTTGCCTAGGCTTTGAGGATACACAGCAATGATCAACATAGACATACCGACTCATATACTCCTACTGCTGGCATACATCAGGGACATGCCGCAGGAGAAAGTCAAGGTTAATCGACGGCCTTCACCAGCAGCAGAGCAGAAAAGGCTGCAGTGAGTCCAGGCTGAGCCCTAAGAGTTAGGCGAGGACAGTGACTGTGAGATAGCAGGGATGAGGATTTGATATAATTAATCTTACCGAAATTATGTCCAACTACATTTATTAATGTGCTAATTTAACATTTCTCATCATTCTGTTCTCCTTTTTTTTTAAAATGCCAGTTCATATCATGTCAATTCTGACCCCTCGTCATCTCACGTGTGCTACTTAGAGTTTTCAGTGACTGGTTTTCCAGAAGTAGACCACCAGGCCTTTCTTCCAAAGTGCTTCTAGGTGGAATCAAGGGTTAGGATTCAACATCTTTGTGGGAGATCCAATTAAATCCATGTCCTTTGCTGTTCCATTCATGTCTTTTAAAAATTGTTTCCCCCATTCAAGTTGATACATTTACTATTGCTTGTAAGAGGTCTTTATATGTGAGGGGGCTTCCAAGGTTTGTGAAAAATGAAGTTGAAAGGTAATGGACTTTTGTCCATGAACTTTTTGTGAGCCCAGCACTCTTTCATTAAAAAAACAAAAGGAAGACCCACTGCCACCAAGTTAATTCCAACTCATAACAACCCTAAAGAACATATTGGAACTGCTCCCTAGGGTAAGGTGACCAGATTTTACCATTGGTAAAGCAGGACACCATTGATAAAACTCATATCCTGGCAAAATAGCCACATGGCAGCCAAAAACCATGTCGTGCATTCTTTCAAAAAATCGGGACTTTTTAAAAATGATGCAGGATGCGGGAAAAATTGTTAAAAATCAGGATTGTCCCTCCAAAAGCGGGATGTCTGGTCACCTTACCCTAGGGTCACTGAGGATGTCTTTTTTAAATTATTTTTTTAATTTTCAAATAGGTTTATTGGCATATAATTCACATATAACACAATTCAATAATTCAATCATATTAAGAAAAGTTGTACAATCATCACTACAGTCAATTTTAGAAAATGTTCTACATTCCTCTTATTAGCTCCCCATTTATTATTAGGTCCCCATTTCTCCCCAACCTCCCCTGCCGTACCCCCAAGAAACTATTAATCCAACAACTGCTTCTGTCTCTAGATTTGCCTATCCTTTTGGAAAAACCAACAGTAACAACAAAGTGAAACAGAAAACCTCAAACTGAAAGAAAGCAGAAAATATGAAAATCTAGAACAGATTTAAAATGGGTCAAGAGGGAGATCAAATGCTAAGAGGTTCAATTTTAACCTAACTGAATCTGCAGTAATCCACTCTCTCATGCAGTCTGCATAGAAACAAGGCTATTCATATCCCTGGTCTGTGGTCAGAGGGGATTCCCTGAAGGCTTCATCCATGTACTTCCCTTCACTTTTTTTTTGTGACTGAAACAACTTTAAAATTGTCAGAAGGGAGATGAATGATAAGGTGTTGCCTTTTAACCTAACATCTGCCATTGACTTTACAATGTTCTCTGTCTGCTGTCCTACCCACATCCCTCTAGTGTGGTCAGAGGGGACTCACTGGAGGCTCAATCCATATGTGACCCTGCAAGTGGATTTTGGGCTTTCACTGTCATCCATAGCTTTCTGAAAACCATGTGTGCTCACAATTTAAGTTCTGAAACTATTCTCTCCTTCAGATTTGGATTTTATTATTTATAATCATTGGATCACACAGGCTGATATGCTTCTTCCATGTGGACTTCATTGACAATTAAATGGCTGCTTATTTGAAAACAAGCCTTTAGGACCCCAGACATTATTCTTTCTGATAGTAGCTGGACTCCAAATAGTTATTCACCATACTTTGCTATAGTATCCATATTTTCAGTGATCTTTGCATAAGGCAAGCATCAAGCAGGGCTATGTTATAAGAACTAATTTTTCTTTGATTGTGGCTAGACTTAAGTGCAAGCCCCAATTCCATTCATATATGTATGCTTTATATATGTCTCTGGTTCACTTTAGAGACATCATTACCACTTTATGTTAAAGAACATTATCAATCATCCCCCCCAGGGCATAAGGTAATTCTCTTAATAACTCACTGCCATTGAGTAGAAACTGACTCATAGCGACTTTAGAGACCAGGGTAGAACTGCCACACTGGGTTTCTGAGACTGTAACTGTTTATGGGAATAGAAAGTCCTGTCTTTCTCCGGGAGAATAGCTCGTGGTTTTGAACTGTTGACCGTGTAGATCACAGCCCAACGCATAACCATTCAACCACCAGGGCTCCTCTATTCTATTGATAGTGTCATTAACTTAGCTAATGGTGTAGAATTTAAAATGCTGTTGAGAAAAGGAAACTATACAAGTGTAGGTTGGCTATGAACCACAGAGGGTAAATCTTTATGAGAACAGGCAGCCTCATCTTTCTCCCATGCAGCCCATGAGCTTGCAGTTAGCAGCCCAACATACAACATGCTAGGGCGCCTTACAGGGTTAAAAATGAACACATTTATATTTGGTTTGTTTTGTTTCTCATTTGTCGTTTGGTTTGAGGGAGTAGTTGTTTTTGAGTTTCTAGTGTATAGAAGTTGGCTTTAACATTATGTTATGACTTTATATTTTGTGTTATATTTACAAAAATTACAAATAATTTTCCCCTTAAGTATCATGGATTCTTAAACACTTTTTTGGCAAATTGTCAAAATAGCATAAAGGCATATAAATAATAAGACAGCAATATTTTCTACCATTCATTTTTTTACCTGTTGCTTTGTGGATGGTCTCCATGAATCATCTTGAATAGTTTTAACTTCATGGAGATGAGGGCATTCCTATTTTAGGCTTAGAGATGGAGTTTAGGCTTAGAGATGATGCAGAACTTTCCTGCATTATATAGTTCTAAGCTAGTGGTTCTGCAACTTGAGGATGTGTTAGAATCACCTTGGGGGCGGGGAGGGGTGGGAGAGGAGATTGATAAGCCCTACCTGTAGAGTTTCTGATTCAGTGGGAGTATTAGGGTTTTATTACTGCTATTAAAAATTGGCACAAAAATTAGTTGCTTTACACAAATGTATAATCATATAATTCTGTAAAACAGAACCTGACTCTCACTGAACTAAACTCAAGGGTCTGGTATGACTGTGTTCCTCTCCATAGCCTCTGATAGAGAATCATTCCCTTGCCTTTTCTAGCTTCTAGAGTCTGCCTATATTTTCGACTCATAGTCTTGTCTTCCAACTCAGCAGAAACACATCTCTTTTACCATTCTTTCTTAGTCCATTTCTTTCTGACCCTAGTCTTCTGTTTCTCTCTTCCACTGTTAAGGACCCTTGTGATTACATTGTGCCCACTCAGATATTGCAGAATAACCTCACTATTTTAAAGTTTTCAGACTAGCGATCCTAATTCTATTTGCTATCTTAATTCCCCTTTGCTTTGTAACTTAACATGTCCACGGTGTCCATAGATAAGGACAAAAATATCTTTGGGGGACCATTATTCTGCCTAATATAATAGGTCTGGCTGGGGCCCAAGAATCTGTATCCCTAGCAAGTTCTCAGTTGAGATGCTTCTTCTGGTCTGGGTACCACACATTGAGAAACAGGCATCTAAAATATGGAATGGGCGTAGTCTGATAGCTAAAGAGTACAAAGGTACTCAAATAGCCATCTCTACTCAACTCTTCTGCTTAATCTGCATACATTTTGATTGATTTACCATTAAAGCAAGTGCTATAGAGGCATTTAGTCTATCCCATTCTGGGAATGAGAGCTGGTCCAGATGCCTAAGAAGGATTATGAAGACTCTGAAACTTAGAGAGAGGAGACATACTAGGATGCTAACCGAAAGGACTGTGGTCTCCCTTGCTTTGATCTGTGTTAACTTCTCTCCTCACTGCCCTGGGCTGGCATCAACTGGTTCCCACCTGTTGGAACCAAAGCCAATGTCAGGCCCTTAATGTCCCTGCTGCTCCCAAGTTCTATAGCCAGAGGCTTAGATCACTGCCTCTTCTACCTCTCCAAGTGGCTCCAAATTGTGATATAAAAATTATAAACCGTGTATAACTTCTGTTCCCAGCTCCCTTTGATGTCTTTCAGCAGGCCCTCTCTTCTTGCCCTCTGCCCTGCATTTCCTACCTTGGGAATCTCTCTCTTTAATCCCCTTCATTCTTCAAAGGGAAACCAACTCCTCTGGACTATTTAGAAAGCAACACACACTAAAATCTTTGATATGCAAACTTAAAGTTACATAACCAATTACTTTAAATAATGATGTGATAGTTCTGACTGTTACTCTATGAAGGCATCACATTTTGGCCTTTTGCATAAATTCCACTTGGCCCAGTAGAATCACAAGAGAGCATTAGACACAATTTCCAGTTTGAATCTCTTTTCTATGTTCACAGAGGTGAATATGCTCTGAGCGAATATACAGAAGTGAAGACCATCACCATCAAACTCGACGACAAGAACCACTGAAGGGAGGATGACGGGCTCTTTCCCCCAACATGTGACAATTGAATGGTGGATTATACTTTCCAAAGAAAAAAAATGACATTCATGGGACACTTTCATCTAGAAACTTTTAGGCTCCTGGATTTGCGTGACTTTATTCTACTCTTACTTTCATGTTTTATTGATTGCTCATGTTGTGGATGGCCATAATGGAGCCTTTGGCCATTTCCATGGGACAGTAAAGATGCTCAAGGCATTGTTAATAGGAAATGGAATTTGTAGTATCCAGCAACTACTTAAAAATGCTTTGCTGAATCTGATGCTTATAATACTTAGAAGAACTCCCTGCATGTTCCCAGCACCTATGGTCTTCTACGTTTCCCCTGTGCATAACACAAGGGGGTAGGGCTGGAAGTATCATTTGCCAGGAACAGCATAACACTAAATTGAAAAAAAAAAAAGAATTTTTTTCTTAAGGATAAAAAGATATAATGTAGGGAGTCTTGGGGGCCTAAGGTGTGTCTGGGTGTGAGGGCCTTTAAGAACTTCATTTTTACCAAGACCACAGGAATCAGCTTGTGAAAGCAATATTGTCCTGAGGCTATGACTGAATCAACAGCCTAAAGCACTTACTCTAAAACTATGTCATTGTCTCTCTTAACCAAAGCGCTTTCTTAAGCAAAAAAAAAAATACATAGTTTGTATTACATTAGCTGTTTAAAAGTCAATGCTCTATTATGGCAGCAGAGTAAATCCTCTGAATTTTATAAACACACCAAAGCAATATTTAATTTGCTTTTACAAATTATGCACTCTACCATATTCTTAATGATTTATGATATCCTATATACTAACCCTTGTCCAAGTTCTATTACCCAGTTTAGATTAGCAAAAGATATGGCTATAAAGACTGGTGTCATAATATAGACTTGTTTTTTAAAGTCCTGTTTGGTGTGATTTCTGACTAATTAACAAATAGGAAATGAATTCCATTGAGGAACCGGGTCACTCCTTCTAAGTCCAAGTGGACTGAGTATAACAGGCTGTGAAAGGTTCCTGTCCTCTTTGTGTCTCCAAGGGATGTGCAATTCCATCGACTTTGACTTGGAAAACTGGATGTGTTTCCATATAGCTTAAAAAAATAAAACCAAATTTAAATTGTGTTATACAGATACTTTTTAAAACAAAAATCTTAGAACTCTGTATTTTAAAAAAATATCAAAAATGGAGTTATTGGTCCTCTCTATATCCTTCAAGGTCTACACATATTCAGATGACTTTGATGCTACTAGCTAGTCCTTTTTACATTGGAGAAATAATGCTTAGGTTTGAGAATTAATGGTGGAGAGCAATAATATGTAGCTCAATGTTAACGCTCGTGTATATAAAGTACATTTCATAGGAAATGGGTTAAAAACTTTGTCAGAAATATGCATTTCACCTTCTTTTTATTAGCACATACTATTTGTTAAATCAGGATTTGATTTCAAAAACTGAATTGTCAGAATTTTATCATAAGTTATGATAGACACTAACCTTAGAGGATACATTAAAAAACAAAAAACAAAAAAAACCCTTCACATCATAGAGTCAATTCCAACTCATAGTGATCCTGTAGGACAGGGTAGAACTGCCCCTGTGGGTTTCTGAGACTGTAAATCTTTACAGGAGTAGGATGCCCCATCTTTCACCCAAAGAGTGGGTGGTGATTTCAAACTGCTGACCTTGCAGGTTAGCAGCCCAAAGCATAACCATTATGCCTTCCTTTGGTATAATTAATGTATCTTTTTTTAGCTGTGAGTACACAGAGGTAGTATAGGTAACCTTCTATAATTTACTATTTAGAAATGGAAATATATTTTGCTTCTTTAAAGGTTTACCATTGTGGTATAGTTTAAAAATCAATCAGCCTGGGAATTCTGGTCCTAAACTCAGATTGAGTTTGACAATGCAATAATGATTAAATAAGTTTAGCTAATTGAGAAAGTTGGGCGGGGCGGGGGTTGTTTTGAATTTTTTCAATTTGATGAGCAAACCATTGTAATTCTGTGTCTGCCTTTTCTCTTTCCTAGACCTTACATTAAAAAGGCCTTGTAGGAAAATAGGTGCAATCACTTAAGAATAAAATTACATTTGTTCAATTGATCAGGCTTAATGCTGTGCCTGAGTGTGAAACCCATTCCTATGAGTTTAGGGGTCACCGGGCAGGGAAGTTTTGGTGGCTCAGTACCTTAGTGAACTAAATTTAGATTTGTCACCTATGATCCCTTCTTCTTATAAAGTGATGATGACATTTGCCATGAGTGGTAAGGAGGATCACAAGAGAATTGAAGGAAGACATCATGTCCTTAACTGTGTCTAAATGTCTGTTTTTGTCACTTTATGATGTTCTAAGACTTCTGACCAAGAAGTCGTGATCATTAGCAGGCATCAAAGAACAAAAAATCATATCATTGTGTGCTCACCTCCATGATAAGATCGCTGAAGACAAATGGGTGCAAAAGCAAATGTGGTGAAGAGAGCTGATGGTGCCCGGCTATCAAAAGATATAGTATCGGGGTTCTTAAAGGCTTGAAGGTAAACAAGCGGCCATCTAGCGCAAAAGCAACAAAGCCCACATGGAAGAAGCACACCAACCTGTGTGATTACGAAGTGTTGAAGGGATCAGTATCAGGCATCAAAGAACAAAAAATCATATCATTGTGAATGAGGGCGGAGTGGGGACCCAAAGCCCATCTATAGGCAACTGGACATCCCCTTACGGAAGGGTTGGGAGGAGAAGAGTCAGTCAGTGCAGTGTAGCAATGATGAAACATACAACTTTCCTGTGGTTCTTAAATGCTTCCTCCCCACCCCCAGCCCCCAATATCCCAATTCTACCTTACAAATCTGACTAGACCAGAGGATGTACAATGGTACAGATATGAACTGGAAACACAGGAATCCAGGATGGATGATTCCTTCAGGACCAGTGGTGAGAGTGGCGATACTGGGAGGGTGGAGGGAGAGTGGAGTGAAAAGGGGGAACCAATTATAGGGATCTACATATAACCTCCTCCCTTGGGAACGTGCAACAGAAAATTGGGTAAAGGGAGACGTCAGACAAAATAATTTATAAATTATCAAGGGTTCATGGGGGCGGCTGGTGAGGGAGGGGAAAAATCAGGAGCTGATGCCAATGGCTTAAGTGGAGACCAAATGTTTTGAGAATGATGAGGACAGCAAATGTACAAATATGCTTTACACAACTGATGTATGTATGGATTGTGATAAGAGTTGTATGATCCCCCAATAAAATGATTTTTTTTAAAAAGTCTTGATCATCAAGACTTGAAATGACACTAGGTGGGATCAAGAATATTCCATGTACTTGGTGAGATCTCCAAACTTGGCCAGTATATTCAATGTTGAAAATCCAAATTCCTCTTGGCATGTGTTTACAAAGTATAGCTCCTTTAAGAGAAAACTTGAATCTTATCCTTCTTAAAATACATAAGAGCTGTGTATTTAGAAATATACCATTTCTCAATCCAGATGTGAACAGAAAATTATAGGAAAATGACATTTACTTCATTGTGGTTTATTCGTGTATTTCTCTTTGAAGAGAAGTGTTCTGGGGATAATAGATGGTCCATGGTTGTGTGTGTGTTTTGGGGTGGGTAATGTGGTATGTGGTGTGGTGTGGTGTGATGTGTGTGTGAGAGAGAGAAATAGAGGTGGGTGGGGTGGGCACATTCTTTTAGCCTCTTTGGAGTACCCTCGCGCCTCCTGATGGCAACCAAAGGATTTTGACTGTTTTTGCCCCTATCCATGTCGCTGAATTGAATTGAAGGTGGCCAGGACCGTGAAGGACATTAAAAAAAAAATGTTCGTGGAGAAACACCTGAAGAAACTGACTACCACAGTGAAGAAGGCATGCAAGCAGTGGCTTAATACCGTGTCTTTAGAAGGCAGAAACAGAAGTTTCTGGAGACAACTTCTGGCCTTTGGCAGCGTCATTCCAATCTGAGGTGCTGAAACTGAGTAGGGTATCAAGCAAAAGCTGGAGAACAAGGGCCAGCAGGTGAAAAAGGCTGAAAGGAATCAACTGACCTGCTAACAGCTTTCCGTAGGAAACTATGACTCATTCCTAATGCATAGAATTCAATGCTGGGATATAAATTAATGGAGTCAGTTGGTTCTCAACAGTTTGGTACTGGCTCTCACCTGATTTTTTTGTGGAGTTAGGCAAACCAGTTGTGAAAATGCACTTGTAGTCTGGGTTCTCTCTGAGGTGGGTGGCTAGGCAGCTCCCCAACGTGGAAATCACACATTCCTTACTCTTTTTTAACATTCATTTGTAAAACAGTGTATTCTAAGCACCCGTAGTAATGTTCATTCCATCCATATGTATAAAGAAATTGGACAAAATTATGCTTGTAATATTTATTCATTTCATAAAACTCATACTTTTGATGAAATACATTTTTCTTCGCTTTGGTGGTTAATTCAGTAAACAAATATATAATGTAAAGAGAAAAAGCACCAAACAACCAGTGTGCAATGCTGTCATTCATTTCAGCTTTATGTTACATCCCAAATTCCCATGAGATAACATGAGTGTATTGGGCAATTCCTGAAAGTGTTCAAAGAAGTAAAAATATTGTCAGAATAATTGCTGTAAGTTCAGCAGAAGTAGAAAAAGGCTTTTTAGAGAAAAGTCACCTAATTGTTTCAAATATATCAAACACAGTGACTATTATCTAATTGGCTTACCTCTAAAGTAATGGGATCCTATTCCTCCAGTGAAAAAATGGTTAGAGATAAATTAGACAATGATGATGCTCGGGTAAAAGTGAAGATGCAAGTGAGGATGCCAATCAAGAAGCAATATGGCAAATATCTTAAATAAAGGTTTTATTGTTTTGTCAGGTATTATTTAATACTTCCTTCATATTTTAAAACTTTCTTAGAATCTAGTTTTGTGTACCTATTTTATCTTTTCAAAGTATTAACTGTATGAAATAATAAACTACCTTTAGGTATATCTTCTTTTCTACTTATAATTGGTCACAGAGTGGCAAACTGATTGCTGCATTATTTGAATCCCACTCCTGATATGACCGGCTCAAAGTAGGATATCTGTCTCTTGAGGAGTCCTGCTGCTTTTCATGTTGATACTTTTTCTAGCGTTTTCAAGTTCATTTAACTGTGAAGTTCAATTGACCACTTTGGTGTGTTGGCCCCTCCCCAGCAGTGTAGGTTGATTTGAGGAGAGCTCTTTTGCCCTGTGTTGCTAGATGGCCAGGCTACACGCAGGGGAGGTGCAGCTCAAGGACCATTTGGCTCAAGCAATGTGGTGCATCCCACATCCTGTAAATTATTAGGGACATTTTGGTCACAGTAATACTGCTGACTAAGCACACTGATACCCGGACACTGTGCTAGGCCTGGTTGACTAGAGAAACAAATCCAGAGATACTAATAAAGCAAGAAAGAGCTTTATAGCAAAGATAATTTGTATGTTAAGAAAACATCCCAGCCCAGTCCAAATCAAGTCCATAAGTCCGATATTAGTCCATAAGTACAATACTAGTCCATAAATCCTTCTTCAGACTCATGCAGTCACATGCAATGAAGCAAAATGCAGGAAGACCACAGGCCAGTGGGTGCAAAGTCTTGTGGTGGTGAAAGCATCTCAGCCCTGGCGTGGGTCTCCACGTGGCTCCTCTAGCTCTCCGAGTGTGGCTCTTCAATAGGAAGGTGAAACAGAGAGAGAGAGAGAGAGGAACTTCCCAAAATCTCCATGAGAAGGCCATACCCACAAAGAGGCATCATCAGGATGGGACCTGATTGACAGGCTAGACTCCACCCCTACACTTATTTATCAAGTTGACATGAAATTGTGTAACTACCACAGACACTGTTGGTAGCAATAGAATTGCCAATTCAAAAGGTCTCTGCGTGGCCAAAAGTTCCAAAGGAGCGAAACAAAGCTACCCCAACCAGAAGCCCACTAGCCAAAGCTCCAAGTGTCTACAACATTGTGCCTGGGTCTTATGTTTGCTCCAGTTTCTGGCCACCATGCACTTTGTGCTAAATCCTGGGAGTGTTCCTATTGTCTGCCTACCCTACACCCAAGAAGGGCCCCTCTAGTTCTGGTCCTATCAAGATATCCAATGAG